AACTTCATGTACTCTTGTGGAATATCCTCGAACCGTGCGCGCTGTCGCCTCGTCATCTTGGACAGGTCCGGCGTGTGGTCTCGGCTGCCCGCCTCCTCGTCGCTATCGAGCTCATCCGCCTCGGCGCCAGCCACGTCCGGCCCCCCCTCGGCATCCTCGTCCCCCTCGGCATCGGGGAGCTCCATGTCGTCTTCTTCTCCCTCTGCGTCTTCTTCTTCGCCTTCGGCGTCCTCCTCTTCACCGACGTCGCCAGCGGTAACCTTGCCAGCGGAGGCACCGCCCACGTTGATGCTTCGTTCGGGGCCATTTTCAGGATCGCTTACTTCGATTTCGCTGAGCTCTTCGTCGCCATCATCCTCGTCATCCTCATCCTCATCCTCATCCTCTTCGATGACTCTGGCGGCGGCGGGACGACGGACGGTAGGCTTGACGGCGTTGGGGTTGTGTAACTTGATAGTCGTATGACGGGATGGTGTGGGCTCCATATCCACGTCGCCATCGGCGTCCTCCTCCCCTTCCGCGTTCTCGTCGTCCTCGTCCTCGTCACCGTCAGCATCGATATCCATGTCGTCATCTTCGCCTTCGGCATCCTCTTCCCCGTCTTCCTCCTCCTCCACCTCCATTTCGTCGTCCTCCTCGCCGGGGTCACTCATATCTGACTCGGATTCGATGACGTAGCTTTTCTGAGCGCCTCGGTTCCGCTTGCCCGCAACAATTTCACCGCCGGCAAAGTTGTCACGATTGGTGGTGCCGTTCATGCTGCGGCCAGTGCCTGACGTGGCCTCACGAAGCTTTTCTGAAGGGACCTTAACTGTCAAGTTCAGGTGGTGGTTTCCGGGGGACGAAGGCGGATCGCGGGTAACGGACGCGCCCGAGGGTCGTCCGTCTGATCGGCGATGACGAGTGGACATGCCGTGATGTAGATCCCTGCCGGCCAAGTCAGAGATGGCTTCATGAGCCCGCACAGCTGCTGATCGACGGGGACGCGAGGACATGGTAGGCAAATGTTGCTGCCTTCTTGTGTGTGAATGGGGGGAAAGAAGAATCGAGATGAATGAACAGTGGAACAGGCGGTGACAGGGCAGAACTCAACCAAGGTGACGTGAGCCTGAGACAAATGGTGAATTTTGATAGTGTGGAGGTGAAGGTAGACAAGAATATAGGATTCGTAAACAAGGGCATGGGAGGGTAAATCGGTTATGAAGAAAAGCAGATAGTGTGACAGTTGTTCGTGATATGCGAAACTGGGTATATGAAGTAAGAAGTGACGCAGCCACGCAACCCCGAATGCTTCGCAAGGACGACACTGAAATGAACCAGTTGACCCTTGACCTCGAAGTACTCCGTAGGTAGGTAGGTAAGGTAAGGTAGGTAGGTGGGTGCTGTGGCTTGAGTAACCTCCGTCCAAGATAGCTAAGCTTGGCACAGACCGAAGGTGAGGAGATCAAGCGTAAGGTAGACAACGGCACGTGTTTTGAGAGAGGGGGATGTTGCTACTCGTGGATGGGTAAACGGAGGGCCAGAAATAAGCCAAGAAGCGCCTCAAGCGCCTCTTCCAAACCACGATTGACAGCTCCAGCTGGGGAAAGAGGACCTGGGGAACCGCGGACTAGCTGGGTTCAATCAATTCTCGCCCCTGTCCCACCCCCAAAGCCGGGAGCCGGCCGACTTTCCTGAAGCAACAGCCAACTGAAAGAGTAGCGACGCCCAGTTCTCTCGTGCTGTCGTCGCTTGGGCTGACGAAGAAGCCAAACAAACGAACGTGGTGGCGACGAAAAGAAGAATGAAATAACTTGAACGGGATGCAGAAACCCGGCAGGTTTGTGTCCCCGGCGAATGAGAAATATGGAGTTGCGAAGATGGTGGTGGATGTGAATTTTTGTTTCCTTTTTTTCCCTTTTTTTTCTTTTTTTTTTTCTTCGAAAATGACGATGGTGATGGGACGGGGTGAGAAGAAGCCGACCAGCTTTGGTCACCGGAGTCGCATCCCAAAGGCAAGCCAATAGCAAGTGATGAAGAAAAGAAAATAGAGAACCGAGAGAAAGAAATGAAGAGAGAGGATCGCTGTTGGATTTATGAAACATACCTTATTGGGGACAACTGAACCGCCCCAAAAACTGACAGATGGACCTCACCTGTATCACCAGTAGCGGTGATGGCTAGCCGCGAGGGTGGCTGGAAGGCCAAGGCGCAACGTCCCGCCTACCAAAGCAAAGGCGTATCCGTCTTATCAATGAGACTGTTCGTTCGTCGCTTCGAGCCCAAATCCCTTTTCGTCTTTCCAGCGACTTTCTTCCTTTTTGATTCCTTTTCCTTGTGGCCTTTTTTTACTCGGTTGAAGGCCTCGCCTCCCGATTTCCCCTTCTAGCTTCCACAAGGCGATGCCGCCCTTCAAGGCTTCCGGTTCAAGCCTGATAGGTTCTTTAAAAATGCTGCAAATAATCAGTCCAGATGACGCCAGCCGGAGGAAGTGGGCACAATGAGTGAACCGCCACTCATCCATGCTCGCATTGAGACGGCGTCCTCTCACCTGCAGAGTCGTAACTTCAATTTTTTTTTTTTTTTTTAAATTGGCCCGTCTTGTGGTCCCCGACGCTCTCAGTCAAGAAATAACAACTGTATAAATTAAATGCCAGCTGAGACGTCGCCAAGATTGAGTTATCCTATTGGAACGATGAATTGTAGCTCGATAGATGTAGCCAGTGGTTTTTAGGTGATGATATTCCGTCCTTTCACTAATTATCAACCGGGGAGATGGATGAAGATAGCCTCACACATTTAGCTGTTTATGATGACTAAGATGAGTCGGATGACTCAACATGGCGGCCCCTGTACCGTTCTCACGGACCACTTTTTACGAAGTATTACAGGATACTCCGTTCAAGGCGCCGTCTCAAACGGTTACATAAGGTACCTATGTACTGCTCGAACCGAGGCATGTGCCTGGCCTTGCCCCGAAGCTTTACCCGTCATCTATCGATCTGACCTGACATGGGCACCTCCGCTGGTTTGACCCTTGACCTGGAGCATACAAACTAAACTAAATTTCCCGTCGGATCGCCGAACGTCGTGTCGAGGAAGAAGGTACAATGGGCGAGAACGAAGAGAAGCAGACTGCTCCCGCCATCCCAGCATGGCAGCGCGATCGCGATGGCGATCTCGACCAAGAGAAGCCCGGGGAGACACCTTCACCAGTTCCGGACACCACAACCATGGACGTCGCGCGCCGCTTTCTACAAGACGATCAGATCAAGAACACAAGTCGGGAACACAAAGCCGACTTCTTGAGGACAAAAGGTCTCCCTGAAGAGGATATCGAGAAACTCCTAGACGAAGTGGAAGCTAGCCATGATGACCGACCTGTACGTTGCCCTCCCTGCGCCATCTCCCATCCTCGCTATACCAAGTTTCGTACCCTAACTAACCTGGCGCAACCGCAGCCCCCAGAACCTACCCCTAAAAGCATACCAGACGCCCCTTCAAAACAACAAGACGACACCGCATCCACCCCCCAGAGCGACCAACCTCCCATCATAACCTACCCCGAATTTCTCGCCAAGCCCCCTCGCCCTCCGCCCCTCGTCACTGCCACCGGCGTCTTCAACACCCTCTACGCCTTTGCCGGCCTCTCCACCCTCCTCTACGGCACCTCCAAATCCGTTGTCGCCCCCATGGTCGAGAGCTTGACCGAAGCTCGTACCGACTTGCACGAAACCACCTCCCGCAAGCTCAGCTCCCTGGTCAATCTGCTCGAGCGCACCGTCTCCGAGATCCCACCCACCATTTCCGCCGCCGCCGGCAGCAGCAGCAGCAGCAGCAACACCAAAGCAGCAGCCAGAGACGCCGAAGACAGCGACGACGACGCCGACGACCCGACAGAACTCTTCCACCGCGACGTCGGCGTCCAGACATCCCCATCCCTGCCGCCGAGTCCCAGGCTAGGAGAACACCTCCACCCCAGCGGCGCCGCCTCTTCTTCCTCCGAATCCGCCATCGCCCAGCAGACCCGCAAGCTCGGGACCTTGATCGACTCGCTCCGTGGCATCAAGGACACCTACGTCTTCCAGAGCGAGGACCTCGCCGACGTGAAAACCGTCCTGGACACCCTGAAGGACGATCTGAATCAGATCACCTATCCCGGGGGCCAGGCCGACTTTGTCGGCTCCTACTCGCTGTATGGTTCCTACGGAGGCCGCCGGGCTGAACCCGAAGACGAGATCAAGAAAGCCAGGGATAGCATAAGGCGCATCAAGGGGGTCATGCTTAGTACCAGGAGCTTTCCTATTTCGACGAGGTAGTGAAGCGGTGGTTGCCATGTCGGAAAGAGAGAGGTGCCGTCCGTACATGAATGAGAATATTGGCCCCAGTTGTACTCATAGTTTCCTGATACCCGCATCACATGTTCAGGCTTTCTAGGATGTCGGTCTTCTTCCCCTTGTTTGTCTGCAGCTTCGCTCCATGATGAGAAACCACGACGAGAACTGTCCTGCGTTGACTGATGGTACATATCATTTGTGTTAATAGGTGACCTGTGTTGGTTGTATATTCTCCAAGATAGCGTCGCGAGAGGCTCAAAGATGTTTACTTGATAACTATAGCTACAGCGACGACCGTAAGACAACGACTAGTAACCCTTGCTGAAGTTGACCAGGGCATACTCGCTACATCAAGCTCCACCTCTCACAAGCAAACGCCCCACGCGGCGGCTTCTCGAGTCTCAGAGCGCCAGTCCAGTCATGTCATGTGACAGGTTTATCCTACATAGTTATCCTCAAGGCCTGGCCAGGAATTGTGCGTGGCCCTAAATATATTTCTCCAACACCTCAGTCTTGTCCGTCGTTGCGCTGGTTCAAGGTACATAGCTTATCTTGAGGTCCCTGACGATGCAACTGACGATGTAGCCGACGCTGCAACACCCGCCGGTCCAGAACCGGTGCGACCCCCATTCATCGCCAGTGCGTTAAAAATGCCCTCCCATGTTTCGAAACGGATATGCTCAAAGTGACGACCTTCCGCCTTCTGAAGCATATACCACTTGAGCGTTGTGGGGAACTTGAATGACATTCTTTTCGCGGTTTTTTCTCTGCTACGCAATTCCGTGGCTTCCAAAAACAGCGCGTTCCTGCATTCAGTCCTCTTGGCCCCTGTAGTGCCATTGCTTCTCGGTGGGTGGAAGACGATCTTGGCGTCCTTTCCGGCATCGGGGTCTGGGTGCGCTGGGTCATTAGGGGCCGGCGAATCCAGGTTCATTCGATCAGAACCAGTGGTTGTGTCGTGGCCTGTTAGTTCGACCATCTTGTAGCCGCGCTCATGCATGTGGATCTCGGGAGCCGGAAGCCATCGTCTTACGTCGCCCACAAGCGCTTGCAACATCTCGAGGGTTTCGTCAATGGCAGAAGGATTGCCAACCGAGGGAGACTGGTAACCGCCTAACCAGACCCGTTCAAGAGGCAGCTCCGGGTTCTTCTCGGACCCCTTGTTCTCCAGGAACTCGATCAAGGCCTGTTGCGCGGGGATCAGCTTTGATCTATGAGGCGTACTGCTCCCCGGGAACCGCCGAGGTGCATCGGTATCCCAGATGATAAGTTCCGTCGCCCTGCGCTTCGCGAAGTGCGGGTTTTGAACTCTGTAGACTGCAATCCAGGGATGACGCATAGGAAGCTCGTTCTTCTTGAACCGTTTCGGGTCCCACGCCGTTTCGATGGTATAAAAGAGTCCGATATACGTGTTGAACCCTCGGCCGAAAGACCACGCATAATTGAACCAACTTCTGTACGATTCGAACTCCATTTTCAGGTCGCCGAAATGATCGGCCATCTCAACTGGATTCTGGAAGTAAGAAACTGCATATGCGTAGAGTCTCATGAAGTAAGGTGGCGCATTAGAAAGCTCCCTGAGGAAGCAGTGGAAGCTGTCAGCATCTCCATTTCGGACTATTGTGCTCAGGAAACCGACAACGGCAGGAGAAGAGGAAGAATCGACCGTCTGTGTTGCCCCATGGAATGCGACATCAGGGTCATCTGTTGTGCCGGGGACGTATCGCGGGATAGGGACACGGTGTACAGCTCGACCGTTGTCCTCGTCGTGAGAGCCCAAAACATAGAACATGCGGAACAGATCGAGATGGGTCTGGGACCACCAGCCAAACCAGTTCACTATGCTTTGTTCGTCGTTTGCATCGATGCTCTTGTCGACAAGGATGAACGGCTCTCGCCCCGCCTTATTGTTCTGTATGTCCATCAATCTCCGCGTCACTGCTAGCAATTCGAATCTAGCAGTGCAGTCCTCCTTGGTGAGCCCTAATAGCCGTTCTTTAGCTTCGGCTTTGGACGTATCCATTTGTGTGTGTCGTTTCACCAGCGCGCGGTGTTCCTCCAGCTTCTCTAATGCCAGCTCCTCTAAGAAGCTGCAAATGTTTGCGCTGACGGCGAGCTTGACATAGAATTTTGCCTCGTCAAGCCTAGCATAATACCTGGAGAGCAGTTGCCGGGCTCTACAGGGTTGGGCGATGAGAAAGCTGGGAGTGAACAAGATAGCGCTCCCATGAGGAAAGAGCCTCGAGAACCTGAACTGTCCAGGATATACCGCATGTGCACTCAGTGACAGGCCGTACGGAAACTTCTGCAAGCCCTCTTCAAAACTCCAGAAGGAAAAAGACGAATTATCTTTGTCGAAAAGAAGCTCGGCAACATTTGGAAACAATCTGACTGTGGATGTCGCGGTCTCGTGGATGATGATGCAGCCGCCCTCTTCCGCACTTATATCAATAAACGCACGCCAATCACCTGGATCAAGAGAAGAGAATATCCGGCAGGCCGGGTTCGCGTCTCTTAACCAAGCACACAGGAAATTGTAAGTCAGGCGCTTGGAAGGAGGAAAAGTTAGGAAGAAGTTGTGAGTTCGGTGCCTCGACCTCAGCTCTGTTGGAAGAAGTTGATCATAACTTAGACCGAAGAAGAGGCTCATTGCCTTCACGCGCGAGGTGTTGCCGGTCGGCATTGCGCTATTGTGACTAATCGCGGGCGGGATTGCGAGCCCTCGGGCTGCCTCGGGGGAGCTTGACTGGAGCACCAGATACTTTAATGCCACGCCCGCTGGGCTGACCGGTTCTGCTTCGGGGACCCCATGCTTCCAATCTTCGCACCTAGCCGGATATACAATGACATAGAAATCGGCATGGAAACTAACCAGACCGAAGGATCCCAGCCTCAGCTGGTCGGCGGCAATGTCCAAAGCACCTGCTTGCGCTTGTGATATGACACTTCCCCAGGCAAGTGTCCTCGCTCTGAGGTGTGGTACTGCGCCGCACTGGAATATAAAGTCCTTGGCAGTGCAGGCGAATGAGAATACCAAAGCCGCGTTGGCAAAGGAGGGCACCCATGGTTTTGATGGCAGAGGTATACCGTCAAAAGCCACGTCGATGCCCTGGGACCCGACTGGGCCCAACGACACTTTTTTGTTGAGGCTCCGAGTCTCACGTCGAGGCCGATCATCCCGAAAAGAGAGGTGGTGAGGCGTCTGAGCGGTGGCCGGCTTTGTAATTCCATTTTCCCTTTCCATTTCCTGCCCAGGTCCGAGGCCCTGATCCACGCCAGGAGGAGCACATCCAACGGGCGAAGCACGTGGAGACTCCGAGACATCGATTACCTCTTCAGTGAAGCGGACTCTTGGCTTCTTGCGAGACGTTATCTCCTGCACATCACTGCCAGTAGGGCTAGAGTCGCGGGGCCTTCTGAGCGCGGACTTGACGGGTTCATTTAAAGGCGTTATGGGGCTCGTCTCGGGAACCGCCTGGGAAGGGGATATAGTATCGGTGGCTGTGGTGAAAGGACGAGGCATGGGTCCCGTGCTGGTGCTGATGGGAAAGAGTCCTAGGCCGACCGGCGTTGCTGGCGCTCTGTCTGCTAAGTCCCGACTTCTTAATTCAGCCCTCCGGATGATGGAGCGGCTGGGGTACATTCTTGGAGCTTTTGCCGAATCCGCCGTGTTTTCGAGCCGTTGACGAGTTGGGTTCGGCTTGCCGCTGACAAAAACATTGCCCGTGCTGGAGCGAGCTGGTTGTTTCTTGTCAGCATTGCTGGACTTTTTAGCTGTGAGGAGTGCATTGACCATGCTGCTCGGCTTGGGACGATCCAATGACGGTGCTGATTCCCCAGCCTGTCGAGCGGCCGCGACAGAAGTCGAGGTTTTCGCCGCCCCTCGATGGCTACTCGTCGTGATGGAGAGTTGAGGTCTTTGTCCAGAGCGTTCCCTGCTTGACCCAGTGGGCTGATTCTCCAAATTCCGAGTTTGATCGACAACTGGCCGACGCCTGAGATTGCTTGGAGGTCCTTCTCTGGAGAGAAAATGCGTCCTGGACTCGTCGAGGTTGCCAATTGACGTGGAGGTAGGAGCCGGTGAAGGCGCGGTGGCTTTGCCAGGCTCAGACGCTTGTCCAATAGGCCGTGGTGGAGGGAGGAGATCGTTAAAATCATCGTCGGCAGCAGCTTCGCCGCTGTCATCGTAATCGGCAAGGGTCTCCCCAGGGTAGAGGTTTAATTCCATGCCTCGACGTTTGCGTGCCCAGTTGCGTCGTTTGTGTTGCTCGAGCCTCCTCTTCCTGATAGCCTGGCAGTTGCGTTCCCATTGCTCTACATCAAAAGGCTTGGCCTCTCCTCTTCTTTGCTTTGCGTTGGTTTGCGCCCATTCTTTCAGACATTCAGCACTGAGGTTCTCCTCTGGCTCCCAAGACCAATCCTCCTCTCCGTACCCTGCCCATTGTATGAGGTAGAGCCGTTCATTCCCATCAAAGGCCTCAGCGAGTACTCCTATGACACTGAAATCCTCGTCAGAGTCGTGCTGGCTCGAGATTGGGGAATCGAGAAAGCTATCGCTCTCAGGTAGATCTCCTTCCATGCTCGGTTCCGCGCCAGATGAGGCAAGCTTGTCTTCCCCCGCGGTCGGCGCCATCATGCGCCGGTGAGCTGAGTCCGCGGTCAGGAGTGCAAGAATCCGAAGTATGCGTAGCGTGATCTCCCGAGAAAGCTGTTGACTTTTTTCCCTTCCGTTGCCTGGTTGTGCTCACTAGGTACCTGCGACCCAGAAATTATCGATTCCGGTGTGGCACTCGTACCTCAACGTAGTTGTAGGGTAGGAGCGATGTAACGTCTCTTGTAATCAAGCCTCTATCCACACGCGTTAAGTATACCGAGGAGCGGAGCCCCTCGAATGAGTTGAACGTGCGACTTGAAAAGCAGGACAGAAGAGCAGTGAGATAAAGACGTCGGCTGAACCCAGGATATGATTCACTGAGGGATAATATGTAAAGGACTTATCGCGTAGTTCAGAGTAGAAAAGGGGAGAATTAAGGTATGGAAAGAGTAAAAGAAGTAAGGTGCCTAAGGTAAGGTAGGTAGGGTAGGTAAAGATGTGACCCACAACCGGCCGAGAGAGTTGCAGTTGAACTTTCCTTCCCACCAAACCGCGTTGTCGCGCCTTGTCTGCGCTGCGACTAAAACTACCTTACCTTACTCCGTACATTGTGGGTTGCGGGTTGTGGGTTGCGGCGAGTACTTGGGTAATTTATTAGCCTGGGTACCAGAACTTGTGCCCAGGCATTAACAGACGGATGTCGCTGCTGTTACCTTACCTACCCAAGGTATAGGATGTAGTTCCTTCAGATCCCCATGCGTACTTCGCTCAAAGTGATCTATGGGTATCTGTCATGACAACAATGAGCGGAGGTTCGCTATTCACTGTGATCTTTCTTAATCTCGGTGGATGTCATCTTGTTTTGAGTTTTGATTGAATGTCTGTTACGAAGTAGAAAACCTCCGAGTACAGAAAATTTGACAGTACCTAAGGTACTTTCTCAATCGGCCTCCATGGTGTACCCATACATTGGTATACCTTACTCACTGATTGACATCCCGCATTGACATGGACGACGGACCTTAGGGGAGTGAGGTAGGTACTTAATCCTGGCATTCGGAACTTTCGCTCCCAGGCTTCTTCCAACCCTTAATACATAGGTATGATGATCATACTGCAATTACTTCGTATTCGACATTGTTTGAGGATATAAGAAGCAGTAAAAAATATTTCTAAGAGGGACGAGCTAGATTAAGAAACAAAAAGGCTTAGTTCTTAACCATAATACCTCTGTACAGTGAATGTATCGTTCTATTACAAGTACCGACAAATAGTCTGTGCGAAGTGCTTCGTACTATGGTCGGTGGGTACCTCACTGCTACCTTAGTGCGACAAGCAGTACCTTATTTAGGTTGCTGATGCCTGCGTTCACTGAGCCACACATCCTTGAAAGACTAACCCCGTAGCGTACTTTTATGTGTTACTGGATCTTTGGCACCTTAGGTCATGAACCTTAACTCCACCCTCGGTCAGGTTTCCCCTTTATCTCCCTCCAAACCACATACCGCGACAACTCGACTTTGGCACAGCACCATACGCAGCTCCTCCAATAACTCTTCCCTTGGCTCCCATCCATCTACAACCACCGCCTATATCATCGACCTCGCTATTGAGACTCGCCCAACATGGCCAACGACGAATATGACGTGCGTAAAACCTGCGATTTTCCCTTCCTCCCCACTTCCCATCTATCGCTTGCTTTCTGCCTCTCGTGCTGACTCTAGAGGTTTTCTGGCAGTTTCTCTTCAAAGGTGTGTGTGTGCGAGCGCATTTTCCTGGCTGACGACGATACCCGATGTCCCATGATGCTATCTCTCCGCTTCCTTCCATGAACGATTCCCTGCCCCGAGCCACACTGACCGACATGCTCCTCTAGTGGTTCTGATCGGAGATTCGGGTGTCGGAAAGTCCAACCTTCTTAGTCGATTCACGCGAAACGAATTCAATCTGGATTCCAAGTCCACCATCGGTGTCGAGTTTGCCACGAGGTCTATTCAGGTCGACTCGAAGACGATCAAGGCACAGATCTGGGACACTGCTGGCCAAGAGCGTTATCGCGCTATCACCTCTGCCTACTACCGCGGTGCTGTGGGCGCACTCCTCGTATACGACATCAGCAAGCACCAGACTTACGAAAACGTGACGAGATGGCTCAAGGAGCTGCGAGACCATGCTGACGCCAACATCGTCATCATGCTGGTCGGCAACAAGAGCGATTTGCGCCATCTACGCGCTGTGCCTACCGAGGAGGCCAAGTCCTTCGCCAGTACGTCTTTCCCTGCCACGGCGTCTCCATAAGAAATTGCACGACGCTTATCGAGTGTGTTACTGACTGCTTCTCCGTCCCCCCCGTTGTACAGGCGAAAACCACCTCTCTTTCATTGAAACATCTGCTCTCGATGCCAGCAACGTTGAACTGGCTTTCCAAAATATTTTAACTGGTACGATATAGCCCCCACCCCTCCTTTGTCCCCCCCCCCCCTTCTCCCCCCCTCTCGCCCCCTTTTTTTTCTTTTTTCTTTTCTTGACCCATTCTTGTTCCTTTGCCGCCGTGGTTTATTCTGCCACCCCTGATTTATTCTCAGATGAACTGACGCCTGCTCTCCCACCTTCTAGAAATCTATCGGATCGTATCAAGCAAGGCCCTCGACTCGGGCGACGGCGCGCAGGCCAACATTGGTCCTGGTGAAAGTCTCAGCCTCAGCAAGCCGGCAGATGATGGCGCAGACAAGGGAGGCAAGTGCTGCTAAGCGGGCCGCCTCCCTGCTTCTGTTTTTTTTTGGAACTTCTCGAGATCGTTAGCCTGGCATGGGTTAGATACGATATCATGGCGTCTCACATGTGTCCCGGAAACATGTATGTCTCCTAGTAAGGGAAGGACACGGGTCTACTTCAAGGGTTCGAGGGATGACTAGGATTGCACGAGTCTCATGGGATTTCTGAAGGGACGGAGTACTGTCTCAAACTTTCCTTTGTCTTCCTTCTCACCTTTGTTCCCCGAGCTGTGTGAATGTTTCGAGGAGATTTTTTTTAATCCGTCCTTCGATAGTGCAGGCAAGTTTATGTAGGTACTGGAAGGAATGTTGTTCTTAATAATGAGTCCCATGCGTTTCCTGCTCATATTGATCATACCGGCAGAACCGAATCCTAGAGAAGATGCACGGCGTAGGTCTTGATTCTTGCTTAAGGTAATTACCTCCGGCCTCTGTTGTCTTCGGCTCGAAAGTAATGATGTTGGTCGCCGTCCCCGTCCAGCGGCTGCACTGTCAGTCAATGTGAATCAAAATCTCTCCGTGTCACATACCAGGTCCCTCCAACGAAGTAATGTCAAGTCGGGGATACCAGATGATTACCTACCGAGTATGGTATACCTTAGGTAGTTTCAGGATTCTGCTTAGTCAGATTATGTTACATAATCCAATCTGGGAAATCTCATCTTAATTCCGTCCCCTGACACGTCTTGGACGAAGTACATAAACAGCCGATCCCTTCTCGCGACGTGACGCCATTTCTCCATTTTCACTTCTTCCTCGTCGTCGTCGCCTTTCAACTACCATTGCATTTGACTGGCCTGTCGAGCAGAAATGGCTCGGAAGCAAGACCAGAAACCTCTGGCCCCTGAGGGCTTCTTTGAATTCACTATGAATATGTACTTGTCCGGCCCTCTTTGCCCTCTGATCAGCCCCAACGCCGGGGTGGTTGAACTCTGAGCCCATCAAAATCAGTGCCTCGGAAGGTGACATAACTCGCCGGGAGGCAGTCCAGGAGAATCATTCGTCGTGGACACACCTTTTTGTTTTCTTTAGTATACCATACCAACTGGCGAACGCGCCAGCGCAGCTTTAAGCACAAACCAGGCCGATTTCGTTGGCATAAAGGGACACAGCAAATTGAACAGTGTCCAAAAAGCAGGAGGAGCTCAGAAGGGCCTACGTCGTTCAAGCTGTGTTATTATATCTCCCAAGTCTTCCCGGTAAGAGTCTTCGTCTGCATTGACATACCTGTTCTTACTAACACCCCCGAACAGTTCTGAGTATCTGTTTTCCCAATCAATCACCTAGGCGGGCAGGCAGTGTCAACCCGGTCAGAACGACTGCATTCTTGCTCATTTGATATCCCGCTCATTACGGCTACAGTTCGAAAGGGACAATCAACAGCAGAAACTCTAGCGGACCTTTTACGTGGGAGACCACCTTCTTCAACGCCCTGTAGAATTCACAGACTCGACTGTACCAACACTTTGTCTTATTTCACCAATCTAGAGACACCATTTTCGACATTTTTACCAAGGTATCCTCGTCCTTGTGGTTTCAGTTGTCGAGATGGCAGCGTTGTATGCATCTCGACTGGGGATTCGTCCCTCACCCTCTCGCCCGGCGACAAAACCAGACGTAACCGGAACGCTCGAGGGCCTTGAGGGTCTTCCGGCTGAGATGCTACTTGACATCTATCGGCAGCTCGACATCGAAAGCGTTTTCTTGCTGGCCCAGACGAATAGTTTGTTCCATGGTCTTCTCCGGCGCAACAAGCCCCAGATTATTCTTCCGATTCTTCAAAGGGAGTTCAGCCCTTTCGAAGAGTTGCTGCAAGTCTACACCGCCTCGGAAGAAGATCTGAATTATCTCGGCGACACTTTTCAGCCGCGACGCATCATCTATCGACGTTTCCCCGGTGATGTGACCGGCATCGTTCTGTGCCGAGGGGGGATGGCAACGCATGGGACTCCAGTAACGCCGGGGTTTTCCGAGGTCCACGATCGCGGTAAACCTACCAGTACGGCATCGTTACCCCGGCCGCGGACCATCGCTCTTATGGAGCGAGATTTGAGTCCTCTGCTGCGATACTGCAAAACAGTGCGGAAATGGGAAGAACTTTACCCTCGACTGCACTGGATTGCCGAACCGGAGAACTGCCGTGTCTTGGGGTCATTTGAGAAGGAGAAGCTGCGTAGGGCGCTTTGTCGCTGGTGGCTCCATGCCCGGTATTTTCACGGAGATCATCCGCGGCCCCGACGTGGGGAGCCTGAACCCTTCGTGCATGACATTCGGACGAGCCAGATGCGGGTGTATCCGACCAGCCAGTTGGCGGAGCTGAGAGCCCTTGTCATGTCGGTCAAGAACCTCATTCGCCACTATATCTATCCCAATCTTGAGCAGAACATGGATGAGGTAGGCATTTCCATGACAACCGTTCGGTTAGGCCTGAACTAACCTTTGCTCCCCTCTTTTTTGGGGGGGTTTTTTTTTTAGATGGACGACTCCACGGCGCTTGAACGGATGATCGAGCGCTCCATCCGCGACCGCATCGTGGATACCTACGCCAAACTTGACCCAGGGGAACTCATGTTCTATTTTGAGAACCTTTACAATTATCCTCGCAAGCGGCTCGTCGTTGATGTGAACTTGCGCCACCCCACATTCGTCCACGACCAGGAGTCTCTGCTGTCCGCTATCCAAGCTGCAGTCGAAGAACGACACTGGCTTGACGGCATTGGCCAGCTAGAAGATCTTGGAGCCATTGTTGGAAACGCAAGTGCGGGCGATGAACGGCTCAACGAAGACGGGAATCCTGACGCTTCTATTCCTGTACCAGGGGTCTTTCGGCGCCCACAATATGACTGGTCGCCGCCAGGCGACGATGGCCGGGCCTTGACGGAACGCGTCCACACCATGTCTGGCGGCCGTCTCTGAGGCCTCATTGTTCATGGAATGGCTTGCTTGTGAGTGCGAGGTTCGGTGTCGGCAGAAGACGGGGCGAGTTGCTATTGCAGGGTTAGATGATCATGATTATTCCAAGAATAGAATAATAGGTAGTGAACATGTATAGCCCCGAACGGTGGGACTTGGTCTCGTGAAGAATAGGGACCTATCATCCGGGAGTAAGGATCTACGAAGCGTCGTCTCGTCGCGAGCTTTTACGGGCCCATTGCCCCAGTGGAATCCATACCTAGGTATCTTAGGTATCTACAATAATGTAGGGACCTAAGTAGCTGCTAGCTGGTGTCACTGTATTATACCTTACCTTATTCTGGTAATGAGCATGACTAAGCACGGGTACGGCGAGGCTAAGGCAATCAGTCGGTGGGCCGGTGGCTAAGGTAACCAACCGCCTGAGCAGGTACCGCCACAGGCATGAACACACACCTACTTCGTACAAGCTTCACCCCCCTTAAAGAACTCTACGAATTTCCGCCTTTTCTGCCGGCACTTGCAGATAAAGGACGTTGCAATTCGGTAGCATCTCACACAGAATCACCTGTTGCTTGAGGCATCTTCGCTCTTCCTCTGTCTTCGTGGCGGGCATCGAGCTGAAGGTCACACACATGCAAGGCTGAATACGGCCTTCGTTCAATTCACTGTCAGCCTTGCTAACTAAGGCAGGTGAGTTGTGGTATTGTTATGCCTGCTTGTCTGCTACAGCCTTCAGCCCCTATACTCTGCGGCATCGATCACTTTGGCCTTCCTCCAACGCGGTGATATCGTAAGAAACGCGTGTCTATCGGCAAGTTCCCGTCTAACCTGAACGCCGTTTGACATCTTCATACCACATGTCCGCTCCAAGAACCCTTGGCGCAAACATTCCAACCCTCGCATCTTTCTCACCCGTTCCTCAGTCATCTCACTTGCCCTGGCAGCTGCGAGGTGGTGATCGCCGTCTGTTGCAGTGGCCAAGCCTCCCCTTTCCAACTCTATATCGCTTGGATTAGTTTAGTTCTTTGTCTGACGCTGCTACAGCATCGCCGATACTCCGTTCATCACTTCAGCTGATGAGATAGCCGGCTCAGGCCCCTTCCGACGGGTCCCCGGCAAATTTTGTCGCGCAGCTGGGTTATCCAAGATCCCTTGTCATTCCAAGATGGAGGACACGGGGCAGGACGTCGTCATGGACGGCACCGACTGGCACCCGAATGAAGCACCAGGTGCCAACGGCGCCGCGCATCCTCCCAGGGTTGACCAGGGTCCCTCTCTTCATGATACGACGCCGTCAGGTGAGGAGGAGGGGGGGGAGGACTACGAGGAAGAGTATGACGGCGAGTCTGAGGACCGGAGCATTGTCTATCAGCTGCGCCGAAGAGGGCTGCTGCCCACCGGCTGTTGCTACGACGACCGCATGAAGCTGCACTACAACGCCGACTTCACATCGCATCCTCACCACCCGGAGGACCCTCGCCGAATTGAAGAGATTATCAAGGCCTTCAAGAAGGCCGGGCTCCTCTACTCCGGACCAGAAACCGAAGTCGCGAGGATCACGCGGGACGCGCCGACCAAGTACATGTGGAGGATCGCCGCGCGCGAAGCCAGCAAGGAAGAGATCCTCACCACGCACACCCCAGACCACTTCACCTGGGTCAAGAGACTATCGACCATGTCCTACACGGAACTCCGCCAGACGAGTCGGGTCATGGACCAGGGCCGATCTTCGCTTTATGTTGGCAGTCTGTCCTATCCGGCAGCACTTTTGTCATGCGGCGGCGCCATCGACACCTGCAAGCAGGTCGTGGAGGGCAATGTGAAGAATGCATTTGCCGTCATTCGACCACCGGGACATCATGCCGAATACGACCAACCGCTGGGGTTCTGTTTCTTCAACAATGTACCCGTGGCTGTCAAGATCTGCCAGCGCGAATACCCCGAGCTGTGTCGCAAGGTCTTGATTCTCGACTGGGACGTCCATCATGGCAACGGAATCCAGAACATCTTTTACGAAGACCCCAACGTCCTGTACATCTCCCTCCACGTCTACCAGAACGGCAACTTCTACCCTGGCAAGCCGGAAAACAGCCAGGTTCCGGACGGCGGCATGGAGCACTGCGGCACCGGTCCCGGGCTGGGCAAGAATGTCAACATTGGCTGGCATGATCAGGGCATGGGCGACGGCGAATACATGGCAGCGTTTCAGAAAATCGTCATGCCGATCGCGCAGGAATTCAACCCGGACCTGGTCGTCGTGTCGGCCGGGTTCGACGCCGCCGACGGGGACGAGCTGGGGGGTTGCTTCGTGACCCCGCCGTGCTACGCGCACATGACACACATGCTCATGTCGCTGGCAGATGGCAAGGTGGCTGTCTGTCTGGAGGGAGGGTACAACCTGAGGGCCATCTCCAAGTCCGCCGTCGCCGTGGCCCGGACGCTGATGGGAGAGCCCCCTCCGAAGATGGACATTCCCAAGGTCAACAAGGAGGCGGCAAGAGTGTTGGCGACGGCCCAGGCTTACCAAGCGCCGCATTGGGAGTGCATGAGGCCCGGCATTGTGAATGTGCCCGATCTGCAGGACCTCCGGGCCACGCGCCTGCAAGACCATATCAGGCTCGGCCAACGGCAGGAGCTCGCGACTAGACACCAGATGATCCCGCTCTATATTCAACGTGATGTTCTCTTCAAGGCATACGAGAACCAAGTGCTGGTGACGCCTACTTTGCAACTGGCTCGTCGCCTACTAGTCGTCATACATGATCCGTATGCCCCCCCCCCAAAACAAAACAAAACAAAACAAAACAAAACAAAACAAAACAAAACCTCGAAAGGCATAGTCATGCTAACGAAAACAAACCAAAAAAAGACCTCAACTCGTCGCACAGCCCGATGCAATTGATAATCACCTAGAGTCTCATAATGCATGGATTGTATGTTCCCTTCAATCTCCTGTTCATATTGGGCTATGCAAAGGGAAAATAAACTGACCCGTCCACTCTTTTTTCTTTCTTTTCTGCACTCTTTAGGTCGACGGCGTCACAGAATATGTCAACTGGGCTATCAGTGAAGGGATGGGAGTCATGGATGTCAACGTTCCCAGCGCTGTGCCGCATGAGGATGTGAGTTGAATATATCACCTACCGTATCCAGGTCATACCTAGGGAGCCAGGGAGGTCGGCGTTATTGACTGAAGAAAACCTCAGGACACGGATCCATTTACCGCTCGCTCTCCTGAGAAGATCCTGCAGGCGCAGCTCCAGGAACTGGTCTGTTATCTCTGGGACAACTACATTCAGCTCTACGACAACGCCACGGACATTTTCCTCATGGGTGTCGGAAACGCTTACCTGGGCGTTAAACTACTACTTATGAACAGAGGTAAGCCACCCCGAACCCCGAAGACCTCGGATCCCTTTAAATAGCTTCCGAAAGGGCGGTACAATACTTTGATCATTATTTTGCTAACGGGCAACAAAAACCGCACGACGCAACAGACTGCAAAGATCGCATCTCTGGCGTGATTAATTTCGTCACAGGAACGCTCCGGCCCATCAAGTCGGACGTCGACCAGGACCTCTCGGCATGGTACAAGGAGCATTCGCGGGTCTACATCTCCAGCGATCATGCGTGTTGGCAAAACGAGGATCTGACGCGCAAGGTGCAGAAGCGGCGCTTCGGGACAGTGAAGCGCAGTCCAGTGCAGGGACTGGGGAAGATGCTGCAACACCATGCCGACGAGGCCAAGGAATGGATTATGGAGATTATTGAGAGAAACGCAGGAGACACGACAGAAGAAGACAAACCGGAGTGAGCTGGGTGCAATCATCGGCGTCGATAGAATCGGGGGTGGAGAGTTTTGGGCACTAATGCGACCTGTGAGCCGGAGGTTTTCACATACTTGGGACCTTTTATTCAAACCCGGAGTCCTCCAATGTAGTTCTCCTTTTCTTGCTCTGTGTGTTTTCTCTGTGTGTTTTCCCTTTTTATTTTATTTTCATGAGCTGGTGTAGCATGTAAAGATATTCCTAGCATGATGTAGCTCGCCATTCCTCGATCCGATTCAAGGAACCCGTGGCGGCTCTAATGGAACCCTAGAGGGACTCTCAAGTGCTTGTCGTGATGCACTGTCCTCACAGACAGCGTACCAAAATACGAAATACGCTGGAAGGTCGAGGGATCAGTGAGATACTGGTATCCGTTATCCGTATCCGTATTCGTACCGGACCAGGTGGTTCGCGATCGTGCCCCGTAAGTTAGGTAAGGTACCTTACCTAGGTACGTACCCCATCATGGCGGCACATAAGGTAGGTAGAGCTTATCTAATCAGGGATATCTTATCGGACGTCCCAATGCTGCATCTGCCTTCCAATCTTCAAAGCGGAAAACTTTCCTGAGCTTCGCGTTCAACCTCTCTTGACCCTCGAACACGACGATTAAAGCGACAACAAACGACGACAATCGGACTATCATCGAACATCGTCCTGTATCAGGTAGACGTATTGCTTTTACTTCATTCAACACTCATTATATTAGTCATTTCTGCACACGAACCGAGCTATATCGCACCGCCATACAACAACGGCGATATTCAAGGGGCTGGTCGCCAAAGCGACTCCCTTTACGACTCCCTTTACACAACACATAGCTATTCGCTATGGACCGTAGAAATAGGTTGGTTCATCCTTCCATTTCTTCTCCCACCGGATTATGTCCCCAATCGTCCGACTCTGTTCATTCCGTTGAGAGTGATCGCTACGCCATGTATCGAGACGCGAACGAATTCACACTTTGTGCCTTCTCCCTTTTCGCAACCGCAACTAATCTCTCGGTTCCAATCTAGATTCGAGGACGGCGAAGTCACCAGGTATGGCGCGGGCGAGTCTTGGAGACCCTTCCCTCGGGATCGGTCACCTCGTCGGCCTAGGACGCCGCCAAGAGACCGTGACCGCGACCGCGACCGCGAATGGGACCGCGACCGGAACATCAGAGACAGGGACAGAGTGAGAGAACGCGAGAGACCACGGAGTCCGCCTTTGGTATCCGATAGCTACGTGCCAGGTAGATCCCCGCCACGTCGCCGGTCACGGAGTTTTGACCGATTTCGACGCGAGAGGTCTCGGGGAGGCGGCGCAGACACTTGGAGGAGGCGGGATAGGAGCCGCAGCCTGCCGCGTCGTCCGTCGCCGCCGAGGCGGAGTCCCGTTGGTAGACGCACCCCGCTAGGCAGGTCGCCCGCCATACGGGATGAGCGCCCCGATAGACCGAGGTCTCCTCGCCGTGATAGGGACAGGCTTTTCGACCCACGTGATAACAGGTGCGACGGGTTTTCTTCTTCTTCTTATTCTTCTTCTTCTTCTTCTTCTTCTTCTTCTTCTTCTTCTTCCTTTTTTCTTCTCTTTTTCTTCTTTTTTCCCGTTCAAGCATCAAACTTTTTTTCCTAACTGTATACTTGGCAGACGGAGATCCCGATCACCGTTCGGAAACCGAGATCGGGGCTTTCCCGAACGGCCGTCACCGAGGCGGTCTCCCGTACCACGCCCCGGATTCCGACCTCGATCGCGCAGTCCCAACCGCCGCGGTGGTGAGAACTATCAGCCAGCACCGTACATGAGACGTCACTCGCCGCTTCCGCCTGTGCCAAAGGATATTATCCTCCCAGCAAGACCTGCATCTCGCAGGACGTCCCCGTATCCAATACACCCACCAAGACCACGCTCACGACCCGCTTCTCGAGCTGTGTCGCCCGTCCAGAACAACACCCCGGTCCCATTATCTATAAAGCGAGAAACCCCCAAGCCCGCTCGACAAGAGCAACCCGCGGCTGGCGGTGCGAAATCCCCACCCCGCGGCCCCGCTGCGCTACGAGTCCCGCCAACCGGGCCGGGACAGGCAAGTCGGAACTTCACCGCTCCAGCAGCCGCTCCCAGCGCCCAGACCCTCCAGACCCTCCAGACCCTTCAGGCGACTCCGGCTACCCAGACTCCCCGTCAACAGCAGCCATCGAGCACACAGCCCCCACGATCGGACGCAAGCAGCCCAACCGTACCACCCGCCGGTCCTCGAGGCTACGTGCCTCCTAGGGGCGGTGGATTCGGCGCACGAGGCGGGCGCGGGGGTTGGCCATCCGGCGGGCCGACACGCCATGCGAGCATCTCCTCGCCCTCCCCTTCGACCCCAGGACCGAACCCTACCACCAACACCATTCCCACGGGTCCCCGCGCTGGATCGTCCGGTCCTCTCCCACCCACTCCCTCCGCGGTGCCCCCCAAACCCTTCAACCCACCGACAGGCCCGGCTGCCCAACTCCCCAGCGCCGTGGCCCCAGCCCGACCGACTCTCGCCCAGACCTTGATTGCCACCCTTCCGCCCATCATACCGGGCGGCAAGCTGGACCCGGCTTCGCTTCCGTCCAGCCTGGGCGTGACGCGCGACCTGGAGCCGCACTACAGGAAGCTGAAGGTCGAGGAGGAGAAGCTGCGGGTGGAACTCGACGCCAAACACGACCGGCTGCGCCAGTGTGTCGCCGTGTGGGACAAGCTTGAGCTCGAATCCAAGGCCTGGAAGACCAAAGTCGATCTCAACGAGCAGAGCGTGAAAGGCGCCCCCGGTGGGGAGCTGGGCGGTGCTGCCTTTTAGCCATACCAGCGGACTGATGTTTTTTTCTTTCGGCCTTTTCCGCGAGCCACCACTGGATTTGAACTTCCTCCCTCTACGTGGCTACGTGGCCGGCTCCTTTACGTTACGCGGGTTGCTATGCTAGCTAGTGCCAGCATCTCTGGCTGCCTTGTTGCCCTTGTGGTTTCTGGATTGTATGGTTATATTCTAGATCCAGACTAGAAAAGTGCATGTCTATGATACCCAACCGAGGCCAATCACACATTATTATTCTTATAAAGTGACGAAAGCGGGCTTTGGTGTGACCCTTTTCTCTCCAGAGAAATTTATGTTTGACTTGATATCTTCCAAGATGCCACACCTAATCGAACGATCAGCGATTATTCATGTGGAAGTGTTGCGAACACTGTAGTCCCTGCTTATAGAACATCGTAGCCGAGGCTACCTACCTTACGGCATGTCCCCTTGCACATACCCTAAAGCCTTCCCAGAACCCCATCCTGAAAGGTAACTTACAGCCTTAACCTCTGGAGGCTTCATGCGCAAGCCCACCCTCATACACCACAAAAACAGAGTAAGGGTACGAGAGCAGAAGCGTGTTCGAGAAACGTATATTATACGGGCCAAGTAGTACACGCCTTGAAATCTACATGTGAAAATCGTGTTGCGTGTTGCGTGTAAAGAAAGGTTGACTATAAGCGACAAAGAAAATAATAGGGGAGATGTGGTAGATGACGACCAGAAGATGGCAGGAATTAGGGATGAGACTTTAGATAGTCTCAGCTGAAGAACGTCTCCACATGCTGCTGCGTTACCCATCAAGCCAACGAAAGAAATAACATAACGCCTGGTGGAAGCGCCGAAGTGGGAGAAAAAGGTAAGGGAAGAAGAAAACCACCCCGGTCGGTGGAATATAAGGGTATCTTCAGACAACCGGAAGAAACCAAGTGGATAGACACACTATCGAGCGACGTCTTTGACCCCTCCGCTAAAAGGAAAAGGATGGTTCATGAAAACTTAAAAGTTTTGCGAAATACCAGCGCTCTGTTGGGGATAGGGAGCTGGGTTCTCGATCGTCGTATTCCTCCTCGCCGGGTTATCGCGGATGACTGGCTGCGCAGGCATTTCGGCAGCCCGTCCATCAGCGTCCGAGTAAGGATTGCCGTGTGCGTACTGATCATAAGGTCCGTTCCCTCCCCCGTACGCCATGCCGATGCCGTCGGTTGATCCTTCCGAGCGTCCCGCGGCGCTGTAGGACGAAGAAGCATTGGAGGGCCCCCGTTGGACGCCGCCGGCGCCGCGGTTCAGAGCGGCGGAAGGGCCCATGGCGCCAAGGATCTCGCCGTCGTGAGCGTAGGATCCGTCGTTGAGCAGCGCTTCGCCCGACATGGCGTCGTGGCCGTGGGCGGGCGAATGGCCGTCCGAGTACGCAGTGGCGGCGGTGTTGCCGCCAGACATGGTCGTGGAGGCCTTGTGTCCGGTCGAGCCGGCAAGGGTGGTCGAGCCCCAGCCGCGGTAGCCCGAGCCGCCGTCGTCCCTCATCTCATAAGCGTTCTCGCTGCCCAGGGCGGGGATGGTGGGGTCGGCGTTGGGGTTGTACGAATAGTCCTCTACTTCTTCCTTGCGGCGAGCTTCCTCGGCATCCCGCTTGGCCTTGCGCTTCCTCCAGAAAAAGAGACCGGCGAGGATGATCAGGCCGACGGCTACAATGGGGACGACGACGGCAACGGCAATCTTGCCTCCGTCACTGAGACCGCCTCCTCCACTGCCGCCGGTGTTGACGGGCGCCTCGGTCCCGCTGGACGTCGGAGCCGAGCTAGGCAAAGCCGGCTCTGAATTCGAGGCGGTTGTTGTGATGGTGCGGATGATGGTGCTTGTGATGCCTCCGTTGGAGTTCACAGATGTCTCCACCGAGGTGATTACTGTCGACGGGGGTTCGTCCGAAGTGGTTGGACTGGTAGGGGCCGGGGCCGACGTGGGCGGGGCTTCGGAGGTCGATGGAGGAGGAGGCGGCGGTGGCGGAGGAGGGGAGGGAGGAGAGGATTCTGATGACGGTTCAGGTGGCGGGGGAGGAGGAGGCGGCGGGGGCGGAGGCGGAGGCGGCGACGGAGAAGGTTGTGTTGGAGGCGAGCTAGGGCTCGAAGAGTCGTCGGGTGGCTCTTCTGTAGGCTGCGAAGGCTCGGGAGTCGGGGAGGGAGGCTGGCCCGTAGGGGGGTTATCATCGGACGGTGTAGGGGCCGGAGGGGAGATCCCATCCGTCGGGTCGCTAATGTCGGACATGATGAAGACTTCTTCGAAAGGCAGAATGTTAGCCAGAGAACGGGGGAGTACGGAGAAGAGCGTGTAGCTTGTGTGCACGCAACTTGAATATGTAAACATGGCCTTTAGATGGCGAGACAAAGGGGAAGCAATGAGAAAGGAGAGATGGGGAGTATGAATGGATCGAAAGATGACATGAACTTTCCAGAGCGTTACTGGGCATTAAAGCGACAAGCGACCCCGGGTCCAGAAGGGGAAGATACGCAAGGATGGAACAGACAGAATACGACATCACGTACCTTTTCACTCCGCTTCCTGTCCTATCTTCAATCGGTCGTGGAACGAGGAAGACGAAGAAGAAGACGACGAGGACGACGACGACAACGACTGAGTACTGGCAAATCTCGGGACTGACACAGTGGTAGACAAACGAAAAAGACAAGAAGAAAAAAAAGGAAAAATAGACCGGCGACGTCGTGCTGAGAGAGCCTCCTCCGTGGTTCAATTGCGGCCGAGATGCGGTCGTGTCTGGGGGAAAAAAGAACACACGTTCGGGGGGAAGGTATAAGGTAGGTAAGCGGGTTGGGGAATCGTCGTTCTGTTCCGTGTTGCGGGAGATAATTACTGCTGACTCAGTTTCGGGTTAGGCGAGGCACCGGGACGCGATCCTTGGTTGGCCCTGACGCCGCGCTGAAGAAAAAGAGAAAGGGAAAGAGTGGGGTGAGGACAAACCCCTTGATCGAATCGGAAGTGGAAGTACAAATAAGAACAGGGTACTACGAAGCACGAAGTAGGTGCCTTATAGCATACAATCATGGGATGACGAAACAAATAAGAGAGAGAGAGAGGGTAGGTAAGACGCAGGCAAGAAAGAGAGAAATGGAAGGAAAGGCAAGAAGCGGGGAAAGAGAACCCCAAATCTGGTTGGAGGCAAAAGCCGAGCTCTGGAATTCCAGTACGAAGACGAATACAACGTACTTCGTAGGTAGATTCCAGCCGGTTTGGGAGGCTGTCCAAGCTGTCCCAGGGCTCATCCAGTAATTACCACGTACCTGTTCCTGTTCCTCCAACAATTGTATTCGTAGATTTCTCAGGTACCGTACCAGTCAGTACCTTGCCTGTGGTGGCCTGGGCTCTGGGCTACCTACCCGGTTAGGGGGGGGATATAGGTCAGAGCTCGAACAGAGAATTTTGCACTAACCAGAGCCAGGACAGAGATATCGCTGTCAACATAATGTTCTAAGACGTGCGATATCTGACCAGTCCATCGGGCTCTGACCTATAACCAGCCAAACCCGGGTAGGTAGGTATGACCTCAGAGAGTCGAGAGATGGAGGGTCAAAGCCACAATCAGTTCCCCAGGATCACCGCATTATTGCATGGATCTGCCAAATTTGGAATTGGGTGCAGAAACTAAAGCCTAGTGCGAGGCGTCCTACTGGGGGTGGAGGTTTAGGTTCCTTTAGTTCCTTTGGTTCCTTTGTTCCCTGGGTAGGGGTATCTGGTATCTGTACCCCAGTGGTTCAACCTTCCAAAATCCATCCGTCCGTACCTTAGATGGTATGACTAAGGTAAGTAAACCCAGGGCGGCTTGATTATTAGTTACTAAGGTACGAGGATCGAACTTTTCTTTTCATGGAACGGATCCCAACGTATCCGTATCCCTTTACAATGTATGCATCCGGACTTGCGACAAAGATCTGTTCTTAGGTGCCTCGCCTTCGCGTCGACAAGAGTGAGGTACATAGTCCGGACACCATCAAGTCAGTATTACGGAGGACTATGTATCCGTAAGGTATCCGTGCTCCAGACATGCGATATCTCGAGGTAATTCCCGTGGTTTATGCGATTCATGTTTCCCCTGCGCCACACACCCAAGGCTCGAAGTTACAGGCCAACGTCGAGGACGATTACCTCTGCCGGGATATGCCGAGTCCACAAAGATGAAGACGAAGAGCAAGATTTTTTTTAAACACCCCCCCCCCCCCCCCCTTTCTCCTTCAGGAAAGATGTGATGTACAACGGTACATATAACTACTGGCTACATATAGCGTGCTAAGTGGTGGCTAAATGGCCTTCTGACCTTCTGAGTAGGGTATACGAAGCGGTGACGAGGTCAGATCAACTCGGAGAAAAATACCTAGGTATCGCATTCCGAACACGCAAAATGTGACCAGTTATTTATTAATCCTCCTGGGTGGTCAATTGAGCGTGGGATGTTACTTACTAGGTATGTTCATACAAAGCTGTCAGATGCCCACGAGGTGTGACAAACCATATTATGTTAGACTTATAGGGTACCTCGATCCTATATATCCACACTTATTCCCCTTATTTTTCCTAATAAGGTACCTTACCGTCGTTAGATATCCCCGTGAAGTACCACGAACTTTACTTAGATGAATACACACATGACTCCGCGTACCTTATTTGTGTTCTGACAACAGCTCTCCCGTCGCATCGTTTATAAAGTAAGGTACGGAGCAGATCACCCAAGGATATGTATTTATCCCGTTTCTCTTGCTTTCGGGTATGGAAACATAATGCCAGTCACATACACAAGGCAGTGAAGATTCGTTGAACGAAACAACGACCGTCGAGCTTCCCGTTCATCCGAACACTTTGTAGTATTCGTTATGCGCTGTCTGTCTGATGCCGACTACCCAATCCCAGTCTAAAATAAAGAGGAATTAAACAAACCATGAGGGAGTCCACCGAGCCCTCGTCTTTTGATCTAACCGCTCCAAACGCGGTTCGAGATGTGGTGTGTCCGTGACATTACCAACCATGTCGCTCCGAGAAATGCTGGCATTTATGGGTACCATGACAGGATGGGCCACTCGCTGATATGAAACAAACATAGAAAACCATGCGCCTTTGCTCACAGAGTCAGGTTCATGTACATGCAAGGGCAATGGTAACATACGTGCAAGGTTTGAGAATCGCCTGCTTGGTCTGCGCCAGCGCTGCTCCGAAACTAAAATCACCTTGCCAACTGTATACAAAAAAATAACGCATACAAATTCACAGGGTCGGGAGGAACAGGCTAGTCACGCATGTTCCATGATGGCTTCAACGTCGCTTCCATCTTGGCTTGTGTGAAGACCGTATCCTCGGGAAGACGGCTGACGCGACCAACACCGCTTCGAATGGCGTGGGCCTGGACCGCTGAGAGGCCGCTCCGGTTGCTCCGAATGCTACCTGCATCGCTCATTCCGTCATCGTTGGCAAACCGACGGGGCGGCGCAAAGTCCAGACCGGTGAAAGTGCCCGATTTTCGGAGCAGATGACTATTTGCGTTGGTTGTCAGCTTCTTTTTTCCCTCTTCAAGATGACAGGTTTTGCGTTCATTCAAGAAAATACTTACGGGCTGGGGACAGCGGGCATCTCGTCAAAGCTGCTCACCAGCGGAGATGCCACGGGTTTCTTCGGAGCGAAAGGCCGTCTCTCGCCCATAGGACTCTGAGACCGGCCACGCTGGCGGTCTTCGTAGGATTCAGGAGGTGCAAAGTCGATTGAACCAAGAAGAGCAAGCGAGTCGTCCTTGAGCTTGGATGGAGTGGGAAGCGTTGTGAGAGGGGCCGGCGGAGGGCCCTTGGGCTTCCCAGGCTGCTGCAATCTGCTCGACACGGAGGAGCCAGGCCGCGGGTGGCCATAGGAACTGGACAAGGAGGAGCCGGGCCGGGATGGAGGGCCCCAGCGGTTGGACATTGATGTGCCGGCGCGGGGAGGAGGCGGCCGCCTCCCGCCCGGCATGCTCATTCCACCCCCACTCACGGAGCCGTGCATGGCTCTGGGAGGGGGAGGCCCTCGAAGACGCGAGCCACTAGGTGGGGGCGTCATGGCGCGGCGAGTGACAGGCTGGGCATACGGCATGACAAACGCATGCGAATCGGGGTCGTAGAACGCGCTCTCGCCCTCCAGATACTTCGGATCGTAGTCCTCGTAATACGAAGTCCCATATTGCTGTTGAGGAGGAGGGGGGAGAGGCTCGGCCGGTCTGGAATCGTCAAAGTACTCTTTGTAGAAAGACCTGATCCTGTTTGCCCTCTCTTCGGGGTCCTCCGACTCGGTGACTTCATCAGGAGGGAGAGGTCTCAACCCAACAGACAGCCTCTTCGTGTCTTGCTGGGGGACGCCGAGTGCCTGGGATTTCCTATAATCGCCATCCATCGAGCGTCTCTGGGCAGACCGGCCGCGTTCTTCATAATCATCCTCCTCTTGCCCTCTCTGATCGTAGTTAGCCACGTATGAGCTAGTCTCCTCCTCGGGTATGATCGTTGGCAACGGCGAGAAAGAACTAGTCTCTTGTTGGTTGTGTTGAGTCCGGTGGTGTGAGTTAGCGTCAGTTGAAGATGGCCCGTCAGGCATAGTAAAGTCGAAACCAACTCCTATTTCCGGCAGTGAGGGTGCACCCAGATTCCCGGCTTGTTTGTTATTCAGCGCCGCTGAGCCAGCCGGAGGTGGCGGGGAGGCCCTTTGGATGCTACTGCCAAGGGCCCTATTGGCGACGGGCAGAGGCTCAACGACGTCGGGAACATCGGGAATGCGGGCAGAATTGTCGCTCCAGTCATCGGACCGATCATTCGGGTAGGGCACAGTGCCCATCTCAGGAACGATTCCTTGGGGAAGGGGCTGTCGAGGCGGTGATGTCGATGATAGGTTACGAGGAGGGGCAGGCGATGTCGGGGTTGCGAACGGATCGGCAGTAGGGGGCGGCGGCCGAGGGAGTGAGCCCTGCCGAGGAGGCAATGTTCGACCATTGACGCTCGACTGACGTTCGGTGGATCCTGTGTAAATTGACGATCCGGCTCGGCTGTCCTTATCACGGTGAAAGGATCGGATGGAGCCGACTTCGCTACCGTACTGGTTGACGGGGCGGTAAGGGTCTTCACTGGTGTGTAGGGTTCGTGCCAGAGAGTGCAGCGACTCCCTTGAACTCTGCAGGCCGGGTGGAAGAAGGTAAGGACTGGACAGGTTCATGTCCATGGAAATCTGGACGCGGTGCTTGCTATCCGCCCTCATCATCTTTTCGCGAAGACTTTGACGCTTTCCACCCCTGTGTTCGGTAACTTCTCCGTCCAGACCGAAGTCGAGGTCGCGGTTGGGGTCGGCGGCCTCTTCCCTTCTTTGCTTCTTGACATTTCTGCGATGCAGGAAAATGAGCACGCCAATAGCAGCCACGAGAGGAATCCTGGAGAATAATGTTAGTGACGGTCGGTCCCGATCTAATTGTCATCAAAGTTCAACATACACCACACCCAAGACGATGGGCAGCGTCATCGACTGGGAGCTCACTGGCTTCTCGCAGAAGTTGGCGCTTTCGGCGTCGCAATCATCGTCCCGAGCAGCGAGAGGTGCCGGAGCAGATGGAGGGATCATATCGGCGGTTACTTCCAGACTGCGGACACGAATTTGAGGGCCCATTCGGTAACCATGGGCATCAAATGCGGTGGAAGCCATGTCATCTGCTACAGTAGCCTAATGTCGGTCGAAATTTGTAATACAGCTGCGAGGAATCGATTGAGGTAGGTCAGGCGAGAGAGCGTAGTCGTCATGTACAGAAATCGAGGTCGAACAAACAAGGCCGGGTTGAGAAGAATGGCCCTAAAGAAAAATTGCGAGTAATTCGAGTTGCGAAACAGGTCGTCAGAGGTATTTGCGTGAACCCAGGGGTGCCCGAATGCCAGAACGGGGAGAAAAAGAGTGTCGTCCGCCGAATTACCAAATCCACACGGAAAGAAGAAAGAATGACTCGAGAGTTTGCCCAAGGTCGGATAGGACCAAGTGAGGAGAAAAACAGGAAGTAAAAAGAGTGACAAGCCCGCTGGCAGGCGGTCCCGGATAGGGTAGGAGAAGGAGTAGTATTAAGAGGGTAAAGGAAAGGACAAGATACTCAACCGTGAGTTCTTGAGGGAAGTGACGATAAGGAGGAGAGAAGGAGAGACTGGAAAGAAAGGAGACGGCTCTGGCGCCAAGACCCACACTCTACGCCAGGGGCCGTGTCGGGGGATAGGGACTGTTGGACGAAGTGGGGCTAATTTCAGCCACATCAGCAAATGATAGGGGCGCTGGTTGTCAACGGCGCTCCGCTACATAAAAACCGGGGGTATCAGGCCTGCACAAAATCTCTCGAGAGAACTCAGGGGCCAGCCACGCATCCACAATCCAGGCACGAACGGCCACTGACAGGCTGGCAAAACGACGCTACGCTGAATATGGTAAATGGTGGGCCAGATCCGCAGTGGGATCTCATATGCAAGGAACATTCAGAAAGGGACAAAAGAACTGTTAGGCTTGGGCCATACTAACACTGTATCATTCTGTCCTGGAAACAACTGATTATACAGTTTTTTTTTGTGTGTTCTACTGTACACGTACAGCCCTTGAAGTCTCCCGTCTCATGATTCCTGTCAACCCTCGAGTTGGCCCTCGAAGCCGGCGATTCTGAATCGAGACCGAGCCTTGACTTGAGGGACTCCTAAAAGGAGGATTCTCATCCGAAATGAATACCACAAACAACCTAGACAGCATCGGTGCTGAAACATGGAAGACATGTTGACATCTGATTACTCTCGGGATGTCGCGAAAGAGTACAACATATTTATATTGATTAACACCACACACACAATGTCGCCCTCCGATATTATGACCTTTTACATGCTGTGTCACCTTTATCTAATTACGAAGTATTTCTGCGAAAGGAATAATTACTTCGTACTAAGTAGGTACGGATAAACATGTTCCCAGAACCCGAACCCGACATGGACAAGTGAAGATTACGTATAAACAGGCCACACAGCAATGGCGCTCAACAAACAAGACAAAAGGCCCACAAAGTGCTCCGACCGAAGATCGCGGTGTTAAGGAGCCATTACTGATTGATGATATCCTCTTTTTGAAGAACGGATTTGTAACGGCGGTAGCCTTCTCGAGGTATTTCTTCAACTGACTCTATCGGTTTCGTCGAGCAGAAATCCCCTTCTTTTGTGCATTACCTATGCCCGACTAACAAGAGGACTGGCATCAGATATTTGAATAATTTATTTCGAACTAGGCTCAAAATCCCTCCCTGGGTTTTGTCACTTTGTAATAGTCAGGCGCATATTCCAACAACCAATTCTTCTCGATCTTGGTAATATCCCTGATGTAGATTTTGTTACCCGTCTCCAGGATCTCGTGGAAGACCACCCAGTCCGCCTTCCGGTTGAACATCAGCGACGTGGGATGAGCGTGAAGCGTCGTGTCGCCTGCGACGTTTTGGTATGTCCCATCCGGCTGCATTTTAGCCGCATGGGCGAAGTAGCCGCTCGTAAGACACCGGCGGATCTGTTCGGCCTTGGACGGCCCGTCGTGTTGTTGCTGATGAGGCTGCTTCTGCTGCTGTGGCTGTCCTCGCCCCAAGCTCTCGGCCAGGGACTCGTCAACAGAGATGCCAAACCCTTCCAGGTACCGCTTCAACTGCGCTCGGATGCTCACTGCTCGAGTCATGGTTTTGTAGTTGAGGTTGTTTTCGTGGCAGAATTTAGATTCTTTCTTTCCCGTCATCACGAAGGCTTGGTAGACGTTCAAGAGAGTCAGGTGGTCTCCCTCTTCTGCTGCAAATTTTCTCCGCGAGCTCTCCATCTTTTTCTTCTCGCCGTCGTGGTAAAACCATATGTTTCCTGCCACGCTAGTCATCGCAGCAATAGTAAGCATCTCGCTCAGGCAGCCGAATGATTCCGCGCTCAAAAGGGTCTTTCCCATCATCGGCTCAACGGCAAGCTCAGCCATTCGATATCCGAGCGGCCTTGTCAATTTTGCGTACTCATCAAGGACACCGAGAGAATGGAGCAGTTCCAGAGCTCGGGCCATGAGTTCGGCTGGAGGCGCGTCCAGAAAGGGGAACCGTACGACGTTGTCGATGCCGAGTGCTTTCATCTGCAGGACGATCGGGGCAAGGTTCGTCCTCTGAATTTCAGGTACATTAACCTCGGGCAGCTGCTGATGCGACGCCTCTGTGTACAGCCTAAAACACTTTCCCGGCTTCGTACGGCCAGCTCTGCCTGCGCGCTGCGTTGCCGAAGCCTTGGATGTGGGGACCGTTGTGAGCGCGTCTATGCCTGTCTCGGGATTGTAGGCCCGGACCTTGACGAAACCGCAGTCGACCACGAAGACGATGCCATCGATGGTAACGGACGCCTCGGCAATATTGGTCGCAAAGATGACCTTTCGAGTGTCCTCCGGTGGCTTGTCGAATACATACATCTGCTGCTCGGTCGACAGACCAGCATACATAGGCAGTGGCTGTAGTGTCTTCTTCTGCGACCCCATTTCGAGAAGCCGGTCTGAGACTGTCTGTACGGCGTAGTCGATTTCTTCACGCCCAGTGAGGAACACTAAGATATCGCCATCTCCTTCTTTAGTGTGGATGTCAAGGACCGTGGAGATTGCTCGTTCGACATAATCCTCGGCTGGGGATTCCAGGTAGAGTATGTCAATTGGAAACATCCTGCCTTCGAGGCTGATGATGGCCGCCGTCTGATCCGTGTCATTTTGCTCGGGCTTTTTCTCGGTAGGGCTCACAGTAAAGAACTTGAGAAATTCCTCGGCCTGTAGAGTTGCGCTGCTGACGATGATCCGCAATTCCGGCCGCCGCTTCTGGATTTTCTTAAGGAGTCCGAGCAGAATATCTGTGCTGACGGATCGTTCATGGGCCTCATCCACCATGATCACGGAGTACCGAGAAAGGAGCGGATCTATCAAAGCCTCTCTGATGAGAAGCCCGTCCGTCAAGAATTTCATCCGAGTTGCAGATGAAGTAACATCTTCAAAGCGGATCGAGTATCCCACCTCTTTACCAATCTCGCACCCAAATTCCTCGGCCACACGGAGAGCTACAGTCGTCGCCGCAACACGGCGGGGCTAGACTATGAGTTAATTATATTCCATATATATGGCCTGGTGGAGGTTCAAGACACCTACTTGTGTTACCCCTATGATCTTCCCCTCGGCAGTCCATCCAGCAGAGTCCAAGAATTGGGGAATCTGTGTTGTCTTCCCTGAACCGGTTTGGCCTACCACAATTGTCACCGACTGGCTCTCGATGAGATATAGTAAACTCTCCCGGTGCTTGAAAATGGGAAGAAGCTCGGGAGGTTTATGAAGCGCCGGGATGAAAGTAGAATCCAGGTCGAAGTCCGCCATGATTCCTTGCGCAACGAAGAAGACCAATCACGATTTCTTAGTGATATCCATGCCTGGACCTATGGATTCATAGTGTTCGTGCGTCTTCTGAATATGAGCTTAGTTCAAGCCACTTGAACAAAAGACCGTCGTAAGCCCGATCGAAGAGTCATTAGAAGGTCTTAGGGATAACGGGTATGGTGAAAGATTCCCTCTCGCATATAATGCAACGTTCTCGAGATGCGAAAAGAGTCTAATAGGAGGCGTTTCAGGGGTCGAGTCAGGTTGAGAATACTACAGGTAAGGTAGGTAGCTTGAAATATGGAAGTGTACTTCGTAGAGCAAGAAAAGAAAAGAAGAGGGTCAACCGGTAGGACTGGTACCTAGGTACCTACCTATGCACCACCCCTGCGGACGGGTACGATGTAGGTAGGTAAGGTAGTTACAAAATGCGGAGTACTTCATAAGGTACCTACAGCACAAGTGACGACATGTGACGCGTGGCTTGGCTTCACCATCTATCTATACGTATCTTTCTAGCCAGCAGCAGCTGTAATATGACCCACCCACCCTAATATGTAACCAACATCAGAACGATCCATCCCAGCTCGTGAGCCCCTCACATCATCGCGACCATTCACTCGGCAAAGTAACGGACATAGTATATTATTTTTGAAGTAATCTTTGGCCGACCTCTCTGCCTTCTGTCTTCATTCGAAAACTTTCAACACTTTTCGCAGGAACAAATTCCAGCGTGAAGGCACGAGTGTAGTGCAATCATGTCTGCGTCGAACGAGACGGTAAGCCATGTCCCCTGATCGCCACGCACGATGCGAGATGACTGACGCTTTGATACCGTATTCGATAGGACAAAATCACCTCTCCTAGTGGACCGGAGTCGCCTACTACAGCTCGACCTCTAGAGTTGGATGATGATGATGTACAGGAATCGGGAATCACCGGTGGCGATGATCCCTCCAGAGATGCTCCTTCCAACAAACCCGCGTCGACGACTGCGGACGACGTTCCTCCTCCTCCCAAGCCCCCTCGACCTCTCACAGAGGCACAGCAGAACGTCGGTCTACTCAAAGAGGCGTTCCCTGGTATCGACGAGGCGGTCATCAGGGCTGTCCTCACCGCCAGTGGAGGACGCATTGACCCCGCTTTCAATGCTCTCTTAGGTACGGGCTCGCCATGGCAGGTATTCCAGCAGACTACAAGCTAATCTCGAGGGTGCCGCTTGTAGAGATGACGGATCCAGATGCTGTCAAGAACGAGCCGCAAGAAGAGGCCCCTCCTCCCCGCCCCCCACGCCCGGCCGCACACATGTCACAACTCGAGGCTGACGAGCAGTACGCCCGACGGCTCGCTGAACACTGGGATAATGTGGGCGCATACGAGGCACGCACTTCCAACCGCAGTAACCAAGGAAGCCGTCAGAGTCAGGGTCAGGGTCAGGGTCAGGGTCAGGGTCAGGGTCAGGGTCAGGGTCAGGGAAAAGAACACAACTTTTTTGAAGACGACCTTCCTGTGATCCAGGAGAAATTGCGGAAGGGTTTCCTCGAGACCCAGGGAAAGGTCAACTCGTGGATTACAACTATGAAGAAGCGGCTCGATGAGGAGTTTGCGGATGATGATGATGGCTCGAACCGACCGTACCGCCCAGGCCAGGAACAATTTCCAGGTCCTCGGCCCGCGCAGCAGTCAGGGAGACGGAGCGGGGACTACGAGCGTTACGATGCCGACCCTCAGGTCTTGAGCGATGACTTTGCTGGCATGAGATTTACGGCGGATGGTAGTACGTCGCACCCCTACCTTTCTCGCTGTTTCTTTCTCTCTGACGACGCCCAATGCTGACATGAAATTAGCCCCTGTCCGAGATCATAGTGATCCGGATGTGTTCCGGCCGCCTCCACCGTCCAAGTCCCCTCGGCCGTCGGACGGACGAAAGGTCAGTTTCAGAGACGGCGTGGAAGAGATTGACGTCTACGGGTCGTCTCCGAAGCTGTCCACAGAGGAGGCCACGGGGTCTAAGACCAAGTCGAGCAAGTGGCAGCCCTTGTCGACGGTGGACCCCAACCCGATCAACGACAATGATCCGTTCAGTCTTGGCGATAGTGAGGATGAAAGGGATACGAGAGACAGGGCTGGTTCAAAGGAAATCAAGCTTGATGATAACGAACGGTTAAAGCAAGCGGCTGCGGAGGCTATGGCTGATAGCCTCGTCGATTCGAAGCCACCACAAGCCGCGTCAGCTGAAGGGGCGGCTAAAAAGGATTAAGATGTGATTGTCCACAGCTTGGACATCGTGGGAAGCGGCAAATTTGAGCACTGCCTTTATTGTTGGAACACTGACTTCGTAGCCGTATGTCAGTTGCCTTGGACATCGTTGAACGGTTGATTTGCAGTGGGACAATCAGACAGCCAGACAGGCAGTTTTCTCGGCGGAGGCGTTTGATTCGGGTTGGTTCCATCTCTTTGCTTTTCTGGGATTTTCTTCCCTGAATTGTTTTTTGCTCCATCCTGTGAGCTCAATCCCCCGACCAAAGAGAAACAAGTCGCGAAACAATATACCGTACTTCTCTCGCCAAATCCGTCCCTTAACACGACACGATTATCTGTGCCTACCACAAGTGTAAGGAGGCAGTTGGCTGACCCAAGAAAATCGGGGTGGGATTCGTGGTGCCTGCCCTCGTCTCCCGACATAGCCCGGCAGCCAAAACCCTAGAGGATAGAGAGAGACAGAATACTGAACGCTTCAGGCTCTTGGTTAAGGCTAAGACTCAGGCATCCATCCCGAGGACTTCGGAAGAATGGACACTTTGTACATGTAGGGAAGACATATGGTCCAAGTGACGAGCCTCGGAAACGTCCTCGTTCGCATATCGTTCACCCAGCATCACTGGCTCCCCACTAGAGACAAGCCCGCGTTCCGGAGTTGGCCCATGCCTGAGCAAACTTTGTAAAATCAGACTAACACTTTCAAGCCCTCCCACAGGTCTAAAGGCCTTATTTTCCCCTGGTAAGCAGAAGCGTTGATGCCCCGTGGAATTGGGTCCAGCTCTACATGGGCATACGGAGGAGTGGTACATCAGGTAGGTACCTTAGGTGAGGTTAGGAAGTTACCCCTCAGCAGGTCGAGGAACGCAAAACGTGGTCCGATCCTCAAAGTTAATTGGGCAAGGTCCGGCCTTGGCTAGATCTCGGAGGGGCAGCGGGAAGTAAGGTACCTTCGATAGCTAAATGGAGGTACCAAACGGTACCTTACTCTGAAGGTTGAAGACGACGAGGGTTTCGAGAACTGTCATTCAACACGTGGCAGAGGGAATCGTAAGGTACGGAGCAAGTCTGACGGGGGTACGGAAATGGCGTGGAGGGGCAGGAGAGGGAATCCGAGCTCGTCGGGAAGACACAGACTGGAACAAAGGAGGATTTGAGACGGTAATGAGAAGAAAAGGAAATAGCTCTCGTGACGACGGCAAAGGTTTGTCTCACCGTGAACAACCTGGAAGTCAAGGGGAGGTCCTGCCTTGTCGCTTTAAATATGGTAAGTGCTACCGTCCGCCATTGACAACGACAACAAAACGACGACGTTCTTCGGTGCGGTCGACGTCAAAAGACCTTTTTAGAATGCCCCGCATTGGCTGGCAGTGTACAGTAAGGTAGTCAGTACCTAGGTAGTCAGATGTACCGGAGAGTACCTACAGTACCAGGTAAGGTATATGCATGTGGGCCACGGGCCACGGCCACGGCCACTTTGTCGTCCCATCCGCCAAATACCTTATGCGCCGAGGCCAAGCCCCTCCATCACCCATTACATCCACATTCAATCTCTAATATCAAACCTTCGATGTCATCGCTCGACCCCCGGGCTCTTATCACAACGAAACTTATTCGCACCGGATGGACGGCCACAGCTTACCATTATAGACCAGTCCTATCTCTTACCGGTCTGCCTACCAACGGCACATATCCTTACTAGCTCGTGTGTCCCGGAGGGGGATGGCTTAGGTCGACCTTTACCTTTTTCTCTCGTATCTTTCTCTTACTTGCTCTTTTCCCTTGCCTTCCTTGGGTTCTCCATCTCTTTGCTCTTTTACCACCCTCCCACCGAAGCGATGATCCTCACTACCTCCACTGTCCAGGTACATCGACATATGGCCGCTATCCTGTGATACTATCCAGCTTTATGTATCCAAACTTCTCTGGTTACCCTTACGGAAACCCTTCTAGGTGTTTGGTCATTATACCTCACCTCTCGCCATCCATCACCGGTATGCAGACCATCGCCTCCTTGTCTTCTCGTCTCTTCCTACCCCTCGATTCTTCATCTTAACTACACCTCTCTTTATACCTTTCTGCCTCTCTTCACGACGTCACCCCAGTGTTCATCAACGTCCCATTCATGCCTGTTGGACGCTGTTCTGCTTGGGGTCTGTTTAAGCGAGTTGCGGCTGGCAACCCCCACGCCTCATACTGTCTATACTCGATCCAATGCTCTTTTGAATAATCACCATTCTCTCTCCGATCCCGGTTTGCGCTTCTTACGTCTGTCACTTGCTGGCAGAGAGGAGGAACAAGCGGTGATAGGACCCCTGCCCAGCTCCCCGCCCCTTAAAACCTGGGGCGAGTGTGCCCCCCGCCTATATTGCGTGTTGTGCTACTCACGTTTTCTTCACGCTTCACTCGTGGCTTGATCGGCGTTTATATATCATACGTCAGCCGCTCTCCCGGCTAAGATCTCCTGGCCGTGTCTCCCCACCAGCGGTGTTCTGATCGGACACGGAAGTGTCTTATTTCCATTCACTCAACCCTATATCATCAAATGCTCTAGGGAGAAACCTGCATATGCTTCCTTTTTTTTCTCGTTTCACCACTTTCGCTGCACGGGCTGTTCTTCTTACGACTACTTCTCTTGATATTGTAACCTGCCTAATACGGCTTCTAACAACCCTTCCTTAGGCAGGAACACAGCACCCCGCATCTACATTACTTCCCTCGGCCGTCTGCACACCCTCACACGCAAGCGGACGTCTAGAAGGTCCAAGTACCGTCGTCCCCTCGGCGCCTCGCATCTGCTTCTAGATATCAGTCTTCCCGAGCCCCGTGGGCTCTTGGGCGTCGACCTACCATGTAAGACACGGCCCATCACATTCCTCACTTAGATTTGGAGACTGACATGCGATTCACAGGAAGTTTGGCAAGCAGATTCAGAAGCGGCAGCTTGAAATCCCCGAATATGCTGCCAGTTTCGTCAACTACAAGGCTTTGAAACAGGTTTGTGCCTTTCCAGCAGCCCAGCCCCCCCCTATGCTTTCTCCCCATTAGTCCTGAGAGCCAGGCTGTTGGAACCTTGAACAATACGTGCGGCCGGGGTCAACCAGCATTCCCATCACTCAGTTACGTGACCTCCAGGATGCCTATATCAGCCGCAATCCGCGACGAGCTTGGCACACGTATGACTGACGCTTCACTACCTACTTAGCTCATCAAAAGGCTCTCGGCAACCCCTACTCTGGCCACGCTGAATGATGCCAATCAAGCAACCGCGACTCTAGGGTCGCAGTCCGCCTTGCAGGCAAACAAGGCAACCTTCTTCTTTCAAATAGCAAGTAGCAGTTCCCTGTGGTCGACGAATTGTCGTCATGGAAAAATCGATCCGCGCTTACTTACACCCCGCTAGGAACGAGAGCTCGAGAAAGTCAACGCGTTTTACATGCAAAAGGAGGCTGAGGTATGTGTCCGTCCCGTCCTTTCCCTCAGTGTTGCTCATTGATTGCTAAGTTCAGCCCTGCAGCTCCAAGTCCGGCTCAAGACGCTCCTTGATAAGAAGAGGGTATTGCAGTCCCGTGGGCAAAGTATTTCGAGGCGCTCTGCAAAGTTCACCACACTTGAAGAGGGCTTCCAGCAGTTTGCCAACGACCTCAACAAGCTACAGCAATTCGTTGAAATCAATGGAACAGCCTTCTCCAAGATCCTCAAAAAATGGGACAAGACTTCCAAGTCAAAGACAAAGGAGCTCTATTTGTCTCGGGCCGTAGAGGTTCAACCCTTCTACAATGCCACTGTTATCAGCGAGCTCTCTGACCAGGCGACAACCAGTCTTCAGGAGATTGGCGCCTGGGCCGAGGGCGACCATGTCACATTTGAACCTAGGTCCGACCACGTTGTGAGCAGTCAGCACCTCCTAGGGACTGACGAAGGGGATGCGGACACGATTCTTCTGGACACCGTACATTCAGGCAATTTGGACGCGCTAAGGGATTTGCTTGCGCGGATGCAGGCCGCATATACTTCTAGCGACGGCATGGACAGCTCATTGATGGACAGGGTCACGAGAACTTTCCTTGCCGCAATTCATGAAGCCCCTAAAGACTCATTGCAGGCCCTCCTCGACACTGGCCTAGTCGACATTCAGTCGGAGAACGACATCAACGAACGGAACTGTCTCCACCAGGCTGCTATCTATGGCAAGCCGGATATTCTCGCCGACGGCCTGTCAAAGGGTGTCTCTGTCGACCGTACAGACGTGTATGGGCGGGTCCCTCTCCACTATGCGAGTATACATGGCCGTCTGGACATGCTCGATGTGCTCTTGGATGGTGAGTCGGAAGGTGTTGGCTCGAAACGGACCGTCGACAGCATACTAACCTGGGTGAAGCCGATTCGAAAACGATCGACCTTATCGACCACGATAACTTCACACCGTTGATCCATGCCATCATGCATGGGCACTTGGCCTGCGTCGAGAGGTTGCTCAAGAAATCGGCGCGCATCGACCGCGCGTCAGAGGCGGACCGTGTGCCTCTGAATATTGCCTGCGGACATGGCTCCCTGGAAATAGCAGAGCTGTTGCTGAAACATGGTGCGCAGATCGTTCCAGATGCCGAAGGGCTCTACCCTCAGCATCTGGTCGCTCGGTCAGGCCAGACGCCTCGACTTCTTTTGTTACTCAAGGAACACGGTGCCGACCTTGACCAAGTCGATAAGCTGTATGGCTGGACGCCGCTCGTGCATGCTGCCAGCGAGGGGAATGTCCCGTGTCTCCAGGCGCTTCTGGACATTGGAGCGGATCCTAAGATTCTGGACGAAAAGGGTCTTCCGGCCATGTACTACGCCGCTTGGGAGGGCCACTTACAGTGTATGAAGTTGCTGGCGCCCTTCAATCGGGAGGCCGCGCGTGGCAGTCCTCTAGTGTCGCAGGCGATCAACCCCTTGGCCCCGCCTAGCATCCTCACAAGCTCTATGCCGGAGCCCATGGCGTTAGATGCGGATGCCATCCCAGAGCTTGAGCTTCCGCCTCCGATCATTCCACTCCGACGATATGGACACAATTTCCTTGACACGAAGACGGTTGTCCAAATCAACTTTGGAGATAACGGAGAGCAGCCACTCGTGTTCTTCCACGACAGCAAGTATCCTGCGTCTCGGCTTACCATCTCTTCCAAGGCCTCGGAACTTATCCCTAGGAATATCATTCTGCCCTTCCAAGAAGATACCCGGCTTGTTTCCTTCCAGATCGACAGCATAGATTCGTTTACGCTCGACTTTGACGTGTATCCCACTTACGGCGCCAAGATCATCGCGAAGACGGTGGCACTCCCTAGCACCTTCAAGGCGCTCTTGACCAGCACGGGGAAGTATTGCCTGCCGCTATTTGACCCTCGGCTACGCGCTATTGGCCAGATCAGTTTCCAGGTTCAAGTCATCAAGCCATTCACCGGCACGCCGCTGGAAATTACGGATTTCGAGACATACTGGAAGGCGACGAGCCAGTTGGATCGTAGCCCTAGTACGTTCGTCACGGGATCCAGTTTATCCGGCGACTTTGTACGGTTGTTCGTCCAACACACAAGTGATGGCGTTCCAGTTTTGTGGCCGAGATGGACGATCTCGTGTGGCGGAATCGACCTGCCCCTTTCACGGCTGACGTCGGAGCAGTTCACCACAATCACTGCCTGGAGTCCCGCTCGAGCCGAACTGGAGACCCTACGTACTAAACCGCTGGATGCCATCGGTGATGTTCATCGTGTGTTGGCCACTGCCGGAGTTCCCCTGGACCGGGCGCTCGCGCTCCTCCCGCACGGCATGCACGTCAACCTTCAAATCTTATACCCGACGGCGGAAGATGAGAAGACGTACGGTCTCGGCCCGGCTCTCGATATGAACACCTTTGCTGATGCCATCCTAACCATCGTTTTCGACCACGCGCGTGCTCAACGCGCAGAGTCTCTCGAGTCGGTCCGCTCCGTCGTCTTCAGCTCCTACAACATGAGTCTTTGCACTGCGCTCAACTGGAAACAGCCCAATTTCCCCGTTTTCCTCTGTAACGACTTGGGCCGTGAGGAGGTTATGCCTGCGCCAGATATCATCCAGAGCCACGGCAGGCACTCGACGTCGATCAAGGAGGCGGTGAGAGTAGCCCAGGGAAATAACTTTATGGGCCTGATGTGCTATTCACGACTGCTGGTATGTCCATGCTGCTTCTTTCCATGTCCTTTTTATACCTGACGGACCTTGGCTAATGTGCCCCATCTTAGGACATGGTACCGGCGCTAGTCGATTCGATCAAGTCCCATGGTCTAGCACTTGTAACAGATAGGACAGGCGAACCGGCCAAGACGACGACGGACCAGCTGTCTGATCCATTCCCTCGACTGCCCAAGGGGGTGGACGGTCTTCTAAAGAGCCAAGGGGTCCTGCGCTTCGACGAGTCCTTTGACATGTAGCAATGAATCTGACGAAGCTATCCGTTTACACTAGACTGCTGTTTTCAAAGTGGATTATTTTTATTTTTATTTTTTATTTTTTGCCTTGTACTATGCAGAACAGATAGATGGGCAAAGTCATTGCAAAAAAGGGGATGCGGATTATGGCAAGGCAATAGATACGGATGTGAGTACGCGTGTGAGGCCATTGCTGGAACGAGAACTTGGAAGGTGTCCAATGAAAACGTGGGCAAGCAAGGGGTCAGTCACGTTAGTTCATGAACTTGGAGCAATTACCAGTTGGGTATTTATTTCAACACTTTTCAACAGACGGCTTGTATCATGCCCCTTTATAACCATACCGCAACACCCCCAGCTCGCCCTCAGGATCGACGCCGCCCATAGCCATCTTGGCCACCAGTACGAGAAAATACACGAGCGTCGGGAGGTACCCGAGCTTGATCAATCCCTCGGGCTTGGCTTTGCCGGAAGACAGCGCCGAAGAAAGGGCGGCCAGGGCGCAGAGTGCTAGATTTAGGTACGGCAAATAGGCCTCCAGGGGTGACTTGTCCGACAGCGGGAGGAAGGGGGCGGCGGCGGCGCGTCTCTGAGCGCGGAGGGCGGTCTTCCTGGGAGAGACCACGGCGTCGAGAAAGGGAATGCCGGTCTCTGCGGGGGGTAGGGCATACAGTAGATAGGCGGTCGACAGGAGGGAGGAGAGGGCGAGCCACGAAGAAGAGGAGAAGGGATCGACGACGAGGAAGGGGATGGCAGACAAGAGGGGGAGGGCGAGGAGGAGGCGTTGGAACTGGATATCGCGGGCGGCGTTTTCGGCAGCCAGACGCCGGATGAGAGCTTCTTGTTCTGAATTCGGGGGGAAGGGGGGGGAGGAGGAAAAGAAAGGACCCGACGTGTCAGCTGAAAAGAATTTTCCCTCGGCTAACGTGAAAAATAGAGACGGGGTTTCCTGTGTTTTACCTTGCTCGTCTATTGCTTCCGGCAGGGAGTCGGAGGAATCATCTTCATCTGGATAGCGAAAGGCCTTGCGAAGACGGGTCCTTGCGCGGTTCGTATCTGCCATGGTCGGCTTCCAAGTCGAGAGAAATTTACCAATATCAACCAAGATTGTCGTAGTTCGGCGGCCTTCGAAGGAAGGAGAAGTTTCAATAAGGTACCTAGGTAGGGTGGTTTGTTCGGGTTCCAGCCTTATGACGACACTTCTTAGGCCTGGGACAAGACTCTTTTCTGATTGGTTCATTAGGGGTACTTCGCTCCATGGGCTCGTGGGGCTGGTTGGCCCCACAAATGTTCAATGGGACCCTGGTCGACGCCCTCTTCTTTTTTCCGTGCTCCGATGGTTGAACCGCTTGCTACCTGGCTTGGTATCGTCTGATAGTGCCCTCGCCTTGTCTTTTGTCTTTTTGTTTTCAGCATTCGAACAAGTCAAGTTACACAGAAGGATTGATTGTTTGGCTAAGCCTCGTCTATAACAGCCATGATTACGGCGGCTTGTAGTCGGCGAACTCTCCCCTCGTTCTACAGAACATCAGCGAGGCAAGCGTCTCGGACATCGAGACCAACAAGATGGAACATCCAGACACCCCTCCAGCGAAGATGGCGCAGTGCAGCACCTAGACCCGGTGAGGGGCCCTTCATGGAGCGACGTGCAGACAGGGACCTGCCAGGTATGTTTTCCTCCTCTTCTCACTTGGTCACGAATTGGATTCCCACCTTTGCAAACCCTCTCCCTTTCGGCGACTCTTTTTCTCTAACCATTTTGCCGGCGACGCAACCCACCGAGCAGATCTGGCCAGTACAAAGTTCCGATGGTCCCGTTCACTTCCCATATTCATCCTCATCGTAGCGGCATCGAGCCTCGCCATCTTCAACTACCAAAAGTCCTCCTCCCCCATCGTGTCGTCGACACTGTACTCACTCCGCGTTTCGCCCCGCGCCCGCGAGATCCTCGGCGACAAGATCTATTTCAAGCACCAGATTCCCTGGATATCAGGAGAGATGAACCAGCTCCACGGGCGCATCAACATCAGCTTCCCCGTCAAGGGAACCCGTGGGGAGGCCATCATGCGGTTCCAGAGCTATCGCCTGTCCCACAAGGGCATGTTTGAGACGACTGAGTGGAGTCTCGAGACCCCAGACGGCCATAAGATCGACTTGCTCGATGGCGCGGATCCATTCCGGGGCATTGTGGGGAGTCGGAATGAAGAGGACGAGGCCACGACCAGGGGTTTTAGGCAGACGACGTTCAAATAGACCCTCGAGGATCCAATGTATCGGGCACTGGGGTGGATGGTGGAAGCGTGGGATAAAAGCGTGGGACTCGAGCGTAGTTTTGGGACAGGACGCTTACGGGAAGGGAAAAGTCGCCTACCCCCCTCGTGTTTTCTGTCGGGAGGCATCGATATAGCGCCTCACACCCGATTGACCTACATGTACAACATGTATGTGTATTGTACAAAATTATATCTATCTCCTTCCATGTTATCCACCCCTTCCCGCATGGGGGTTGATCAATTTTGCCATCCGTGGCGCGTGTCCCCCATTTCCACTTCCGTTCTCTTTTCGCTCCTCCAACCTGTCGTCACTTCCATCTAACAACGACTTTCATGCCAGCTCGACTTTGGCCCTCCTCTGTTCCTTCATGGCAAGATGCCTCTCTCGGGCTTCCTGCAGCTTAGCCTCGGCATCCTTGTTATTCTCAAGCAGCTCGACCAGCTTGGCCTCTCGGTAGGGCATTGCTGGGGGCTTGCGCTTCACGGCGTCCTGCAGCTGGACGACACACCCCTTGGGACCCGCCACGGGCCCGCTGACGATGACGATGCCCAGCTCATTGTCGACCTGCAGAACCGTCAAGTTCTGCACCGTGACGCGCTCGTTGCCCATCCGGCCCGGCATCTTCTTCCCCGGCATGACCCTGGAACCGGAACCCTGCGAGGGACCGGCGGTACCCATGGTACGGTGGTTCAGGGAGTTACCGTGGGACGCGCCCTGGCCGGCGAAACCCCACCTCTTCATACCGCCGGCGAAGCCCATGCCGCGGCTGTTGGACCGGACGTCGACGTACTGGCCCTTCTGGAACCAGTCCGGGAGCAGCTGCACGCCGACGGGGAGCAGGCCCTCCTCGTTGCGGACGCGGAACTCGGCGAGGTGGCGCTTCGGGTAGACGCCCTTGGCCTCGAAGTAGCCCAGCAGCGGCCGGGTGACGTTGCGCGGTTCCTTCTGGCCCAGGCCGACCTGGACGGCCCAGTAGCCGTGCTTCTCGCGGTGCCGGGTGGCGACGACCTGGACCTGGTCCAGCTGCAGGACGGTGGCGGGGACGCGCTTCTTGCCGACGAAGACGGACGTCATCCCCTTCTTGACGGCGAGCACGCCCGTGCGGAGCGGTGTCGTCTTCTCCTTGCGGGCCAGGGCCGCGTCGGGCCCCGCCGACAGCTCGGGCAGGCCGGGCGCCTGGTTGTAACGGGCCTGGTGGGCGTCTCGGGGTTTAAGGGTGGACCAGCCGGACTTTACGCCGCGCTGGGAGATTCGGGGGAGGAGGAGTGCGACATTGCCGGAGATGCAGGAGGAGGATGGTGACAGGGAGGAACTGGTGGGAGGAGTGATAAACTGAGGCTGGAGGCGAGGTCGGAGCAGTTGTAGGCAGCGTGGCGCTAACCGGGGCGCCATCTTGTCTGACAAAGAAAAACAGATGGGAGAGCGCCTTGGTTGGCTCTGCTCCCTGAGATCGGGGGGTTCGTTCTGTTTGACACAGGCCGTCTGTTGTGTGTTGTTTGTGGTGATTATGTGATTATGCTTTGGAAAAGACGTCCGTCTGGTGGTTCATGGGATGAGGTTCATCAATTGGAAATTTTACGCTGCGACTCTGATTGGCCTGGCTGGGAGCAACGAAGTGAAGTGGTCCGTGCACGACACCAGATTCACCATTACCTAAGGTAAGGTACCTACTCAGTACGTACTGGGCAGCCGCATCTCATCTCAGTGGTGAACAAGAATTTGAATCATTCCCCCCCAATTGGCCAAAACGAAGACAACTCAGGAGAAAAAGAGAAAGGCCAAAAAAAAAAATGTCAAGAGAGGAGATTATTCACGCTTACAGGCACCTTTACCGGGGTCTCCTCCACGCTGTTCAGTTTGCAACCAAGGGCAGGTTCGTGGCACGCGACCAGCTTCGCCGGGCGTTTCGCGACAAGAATGCCACCTTCGACCGCGAAGCAGTGAAACGGACCATTTGGTTCGTGGAGGCAGCAGCACGCGAGCGAGGTCTGGAACATAAGATCCTCAAGAACTTGATCAAGACCAACTCGGTACGCTACAGGCCGGTACCATGGCGCATCCTGGCCAATCAAACTACTATGCAGAAGAAGGCGTGAGTCTAATGGATTGATTCTATTCCAACTCCGGACGTCCTCCTGTTCTTCGGAACAAGGTGCTGAAAATGTTGAACAGGCCCCAGGTTGTGACGGACCGGGTTAGGGAAAATGCTTTTAAGCATTATGACATGACAGTGGCCATGCTCAATAAGAGTATGGGTCTATGCCTGCGTTGATGGACGGGTTCGAAACACCTACTCCGCGGGCAGAGGAAAGACGCGCTTGAGGGGATCCCTCTCGTCTGGATGCCTTGCAAACGGTCCGCCCTCCCACGATATCTCAGTCATACGCGAAAAGAAATTCGCAATCCCAAATCACGCCTTGGGCCTATTTCCACCCCCTAAGGTACTTAGGAAGATAGTGGGTGTACCTATTGGTATGGGGTAGCTGGAACTGCGATTCCAGCCAAGCTACTCTGTGCCGTTGCCGCAGAATCCCACACCACATAAGACGAGATGCAACCCGTTCGATTCGGCAGAAGGGCTTTGGATGCTCCCTGCAGAAGGCATGGTATGTACCTATAATACACGCCAGCTTGGTTCATCGTTGCGGTCAATCAGCGGGGTCCCTTTCCCGTACCGGGCTGCGTGGTATCCGTAGGTGCCTAGCTGCAGCTGCGATTCATCGAAGGGCACTCACTGTACCTTACACTACTCGTACCACTCCGGATGAGGAGGAGGTTGCGCGGGGAAGTCACATTTTCCAGAGTCGGTTGAATGGAAGTCGGTACCTATTGAAATGGATGCACCCAGCATGGCCATTTATTGTAATAGAAACATACGATACTGCATGATCCTGTATCTACTTAATCTGATCTTTGGTAATATACTATCCCGGAGAATTATCGGTTTTACCTTACGTTGACACACGAAATTTAAAACAATGAAGAGACCCCTAATCTTTGTGGTTAGGTACAGTCCGCACTCTCCGTACAAGCCTTCCAAAATCTGAGGCTTCAAGGCGATTCCAGGCAATGACGTCGTAGAAACGAGGTAGCTGAATGTACCTAGCCGAGGCAATTGCGAGGCTAAAGTACGGACAAGTGCCTTCCATAGATACTTCGTACACAAATACCGGGGCACCGACCCACCGTGAGGGATTGCCAAGAACTGAGCATGTAATTATCAGATCATTGGCCTGCATACATACGGTAAGGTACCCTAGGATCAGGACTTCGGGCACTTTGGCATCCTGACGTCCCGATAATGCAATATGACTTCACATGACCCACACAATGACTAACAGCTAGGTACTTCTCTCTCGGTTTGGGGCTATTTACATTCGTAGCTTCCCTCTACGCTGCTTGGTCACGTCGTTTGCGATCGTTTCTCTCGAGTCTTGACCCCGCAATCTCTCTTCGACCTTCGCTCCCCTACCCCTTCCTCGCCATTTCTCCAACCGGCGCTGGATGGTCAGAGGCAACCGCCAAAACAACTCTTGGGGGTTCAGCTCTCGATCTCCCAAGTAGTCACCTCGCTGTCCATATTCGCCTCCCCGCAATCCCGATACCTCCCCCATTCGATCTCTCGCGTCCCGGAGAGCTCTACCGATACCACGATACGACGACACCACGATACCCCCGCCGTGATTCCCGCACGAGGAAAGGCAAGCAAGGCACCGCTGCTTGAATGGACCCATCCCCGCTGGCATCTGGCTGTGTCGTTCCCACGTTGTCGATCTTGATCTCGTCCGAGGTCATGATCTGAAGGGGCCCCCCGTCCCGATCACACACTTGCCAGAAGCATGCCCCCTGAGCACGACCTCGCCACGCGACACCATGTGCCGGACATCCCCTCGTCTCCGATCATGCCTCAACAAGAGAGGCCGAAGAGGCTAGCCAAGCGGTACCGCACGGAGATCGCCGCCAGTGCCTCCAGTGTGGTCTCTACCGTCACCGCTTTCCCGCTCGACAGCGTGAAAACCCGCATGCAGACCTATCGCTACAACGGCTTCCTCGATTGCGTCCGCCACACCTACCGGACGGAGCATCTGCGAGGTTTCTTTCGCGGTATGCCTTCTATTCCGTCGTGGCGCCTTTCATCCTGCTCTCTCTTCGTTTGCCCTTCTGCGAGGGAGGGGTGCGGGAGGGAGTAGCTGAAGCTTACGAAAAGTAAAAAGTAACTGACCTCTCTCTCTTTTTTTCGTCGTCAGGCGTCCTGGCCCCCATGGCCAGTGTCACTCTTGTTAGGACGGTTTCCTTTTCCATTTATCAACGAGCCAAGTATGCGTATTCCGGCTGGATCCAGAAGAACATGGGCTTCAACGTTCTGGAGCATGTCAACACCAAGGGCACCTACCCCAACATGTACTCGATCGCCTGCCTTGGCGCCGCTGGCGCCACCGCCGGATCCTGCATTACCGTAGTCGCCTGTCCGTTCGAGTTAACCAAGTTGAGCGCTCAAGTCTCGGTTCTCTTGTCCGATAAGAAGAAGCTTGCCGAGTCCAACTGCCGCGTGCAAAACGGCCACGCCATTGCCGCCAGCTATCAGAACAAGGGCACTCTGAAGACCATGTCCAACATCATACGTCACCGAGGTCTCCTGGGTCTCTATACCGGCTTTCGATTGCATTTGCGTAGGTGTCTCCCCGGGCTTTTATCGACCCGAGATTAAAGTTGCTAATTGGCACCAGTGAGAGACACTCTGGGCACTGCAATTTATTTCATGGTTTACGAAAGCGGCAAGCAGTTGGGTACCACATTTGGAGGAGATCATCCCACGGGTAACAAACTGGCCATCCTCACTTCAGGTGGTCTATGTGGTATAGTATCCTGGGCTTTAATCTGTACGAGCCACCTCCCTATTTCTCTCCCGCAATTTGACGCATGTATAGGCTGACGAATCGTCATACTAGATCCGATTGACTCGGCTAAGAGTATATATCAACGCAACTCGTTGTTGTATTCCAAGGGCCAAAAGGCCGATGCACCCCCGAAGATCGAGTTCTTCCGGCGTCACATGTACCGTGGGTTGGGCGTCTCTATGGGACGTTCGTGCGTCGTCAATGCCATCTTTTTCTCTGCTTTCGAGGTAATCAAGAAGCAAATAGACACTCTGGAGGACTAGTAGAAAAACGGTCTCGTCACAACACCAATGTTATAGGGGAACGAAAGAGAGGCAAAATGGTCACATGAAGTGTCGCGATTAGGCGAGGCGGGAAGTGAATTCATAGCAATACAGAGAGAGAGAGAGAGAGAGAGAGAGCTGTATGGATACGGTTGGGGAGGGCGTTACGGTTTGTACTGGCCATCTGCGAAAGCCGAGAGCACCAAAATCTGTCAGCTCTGGGAGCAAAGCCAGCGGCTGCTGGAATTACGGTAATCTCATGTTGACTTGTCGACGAGTTAAGAGAATTTGCCCACCGTGGGGATAGCATGTTTCATTTCACGAATCGCCGTTTGAATGTGTTCGTTCAATTTGTCGAATTAGACGTCTCTGAGCCCGAACCTTTTGAGAAACATGATTTGAAAACCTATGTTCGTTTGCCTCCGTTGCAACGGTACAAGGCAGGTATGTTGCATGTCCTCTATCCTGATATATCAGGACAGATCACGATTCGGTCTCTGGACATGCGTCGTAGGAATCATTAGGATGGTGAAGCGTGTTTGTTCCTGCTGTCTCTGCTGGCTATATGCACAATCAAGCCCAACCCACATCTATGTCTTCGAGAATTGATCAGAATTTCCGTCACCCTGCCCTCCGCAGCTCCAGACGGGCCTTCCTACCGCTCCCCGCTCCATCCATGCCGCACAAAGGGAAATAAACTAGATCAAGAAAGTACGCATGGCATTGGTTTGGTTTGGTAGTTTTACAGAGTGTCCGTGAGGAGCTTGTTCAGCTTGGCCACCTTGGCGGAGACGCTGAGGTCAATGGTACGGTCGCCGATCTCGACGATGAGACCGCCAAGGATATCGGGGTTAACCTTGGGAAATGGATTAGCTGGAGGAAACTAGAGTAAGGAGGGGTGGGGGGAAGTGGATGTACCTGGTTCGTCACCTTGAGCTTCTTGCTCTGGCCGACGTAGGGGGACTTGGAGACCGCGGTCTCGAGCCTGTTGAGGGTCTTGTTGTCCAGTTGCTGCAGCGTATAGTATTCATCAGTATCCTGTTTATTATGTCGTGCCGGTCTCGTGCGCTATATAGCAACGGGCATTGCATCGAGTGGCCACTTCCAGAACATCCTCGCCAAAGCGTAGCGAAAACAGAGGGGGAGAATTTCGAACTAACCTGAGTAGAAGTCACAACAACCTCGACTTCACCTTTGGCGGCGCTGATGATCTCGCTGAATTTCTCGCAGACGCCCTTGAGGATGCCCAGGCGGTTGTTCTCGGCCAGCGCGGCGAGGAAGTTGCTGACGGTCTCGTTGGACGCACCGGCGTGCTTCTTGAGCTCGGTGACGATGGCGGACTTGTCCTCGGCGGTCAGGGTCGGCTCGGAAAGGATGGTGGAGAGCTTGGTGTCCTTGGTGACGAGGGCGTTGAGCTGCGCGATGGACTTGGCGGTCGGGTCGAGGGTGGAAGTCTTGACAGCGGCGGTGTACTACACATCACGAACAAGAAGCGTCCTGGTCAGTTTCCAATTTTTGGCACAGCATGCATACGGACGGGTTATGTTCGGTCGGAGCGTTGATCGGGAAAGGCCCCGGGAGGGAGGGAGTGATCGGTGCTCGTTGCGAGAACAAGGCCAATTGGAGGTATGAAGAAGGAGTATCGCCTTGGGAACAGAGAAAACTGAGGCATACCAGAGCCGTGGCGTAGGTGCCATCGATACCGAAGACGGCCAGGGGAGGAATGACGTTCTCCGAAGCGGCGGAAGCGGCGGCGTAGGTCCGGCGAGCGGCAAGGGGACGAGCGACCGGAGCTGCCGCTCGGAAAGTGCGAAGGGCTTGTCTCGACAGCATGGTGGTGATTGCTGGAGGGTGCGGATTAAAGAGGGAAATTATCTTCGGAGGGTCGTGGTGATGGTCGTCAAGCTTTCGCGGTTTTCCGACTGGGGTTTCACTTCGGCAATGGAAAGTTTGTGCCTTATCCTTTCCCACCCGAACGTGAGGCATCAACTTTTTGGTCAGGAACTCGGCTGGCCGGGACGCCAAGATCATATTTGTTAGTGCACTGCTCTGACCAACTTACTCCATAAGGTACGTTTTTGTACTTCGGTACCCATACCCCGTACAAGTCTAAGGTACCTTATGGAGTACATTCATGATACGGAGAAATTACCGTTGTACGCATTTCGTTTTATTCCTGAATTCCCATGTCCTTTTGCCTTCTCAGGCAGTGTAATCTACCGAGTACAAACACCAATTGCTACGATGCCTGTGTAATTTTGTTAGGTACCTTACCTTAGGGGGGCACCCTGATCAGACCCTGCAAACCAAACCCAATGTCAATACCAACGCCGAACATAGCTCATACACTGAATCATCGACACCCAAAGCTCGTCGAACACCTTAGTCGCTCTCTATCATTTTCGCCGCCAAGTCACTTAGCGGGCCGTAAAAGTCCTTGCCCGAGTCCAGCTTGTGTTCGTCGACGAACAGCACGTATTGCTTGAAGCTGGTATTCAGGTGAGGTTCGAGACCGAGCTCTCGGATGACGGCGTAGTGATGGCAGTAGATATGCGCATAGACCCGATACATGCGCTTGAAGATTTGCCTTACTAGCGGCTGGAATCCCTTGGGGAAAGGAACACCTTAAGTGAGGATGTCAGCTCCGCAACACAAAAGCGCTCCTCTTCAGATCATCACCAATCTCCCTTACCAATTCGGCTGGGCAGAATGCTCTCGTTGTCGATGGTGTTCTGCACCCATGTCATCAAGTGGTTGATGTAGTCCGGCGCAGACATCTTGGTGGGCTTCTTGTAGTTCTCGTTGTCTTGCCACAGATACTCAAACTCGTCTGTCGCCTTCATGGGGTAGCAGGACTCGGGCGAGCAGAACTCGGTAATAGCGCCGTACAAGAGGTTGATTTGATTGTAGAAATCGACCACTGTACAACCCGCCCCCCGCGTCAGCCGTGGACACTGGCAGATGAAAAGACATGCGGGCCCGATCACGACATACTGTTGACTGCCAGCCATTCGTCCTCATCCTCGCCTTCGGGCAGCTTCACGGCTTTGCGGAGGCTGCCACCTCCAAGCGTAGCTTCGGCATATTGGCGCAGGGCAAGACCGTTATTCGGACCGCCCCGAATCGTCCCACGCTGACGCGCTCTCCTCGCGTTACTGTTACAATGTTGCCTGTCAGCCAGGGCAACTAGAACAGAATGTGGGAGCTGCGGTTCTTTGGTTTCGATGATCGTATCCTCCTCGCAGTAGAAGGTGGGGGGGGCAGGGACGGCGGGTGGGGGATAGGGGAGCAACCCCGTCCTTGCACCAATGTATTGGAGCAAGGCCATGGCTGTAGGTTTGATTCGCGTCGAATAACTGACATTGTCGGCGCAACAGGAAGACTCATTGTGAGGGTCAACGGGCTTTTGAATGATATGCGGGTTGTTGTTGGTTCGTAGACTCTGTAGGCTCTCTACTTCTATTCATTCCAGTGGTTAGCAGAGCAACGGAGACTTGCTTGCATCGGGCTAGACGTTTTCGCTGGAAGTCTCAAATACCTTTGAATAAACTCGATATGCGATGTTTCAAAGAATTTAGGAGGAAATACTCGTTGTGCCATCCAGTGATGCCTATGCGCGTTCGTAGCACCCTTAAGGTCTCTTGCGTTTGATATGTTTGGGTTCCAGGTGTTACCACAGGTACCATACCAATGAGGAATAGCGTCGGATCTCCTGGGCTACGTATCTAATTCGCCGTTCCAGCCAGGGTCGGTCAAGTGTGAAAGGTACCGATCCAACCCCACCTCATATCTCCCCTCCCAACCAGCAAAGTCAAAGGTCAGGTAACCTGCAACTTGATCGTACTCCGGACTCCATGCATCTGCGTTCCTCGGGCTGGGGGCGCTATAGTTCTAGCAGCTATTATATTGTCCCAATGCAAAATATCCTGAGAGCTCGGAGACCACTCCAACTGCCAGGTCCCTGACAGATGCCGCATGGGCTTTAAATCTGCGTCTTGAGAGAGGACTGACACTTCTAAGTATCAGGTACTCGTATGTTGGTTGCACCAGGCAAATGAGAACTGCACAACAGCTCTCACCGAATTCACCAAATTCTCCCTTCATGAACTCGCTATCTACATATTCGTAGGGTGCCAAGATCAAGATCATCCAATACACAGAAGTCGGCCGAGGAGGTTATTTCTATGAGGAGATTATTCCCCAATGGAGACAGTCAGAGCACCTCTGACTAGGTACTGGGAGAGAACCTCACGGCATCACATTGGGTAGTGGGGCATCATAGGGTTTGGATTCGGCGAGAATGTGTTCCTGAGCCAGCATGCCCAAAATGAATCCTGCTTATACGGCATCTGTATACTGGCGTTATAACTGTCGCTGCTGGTGACTGTGACTATAGCGGCCAGAAGAGGCCGAGAGTCGAAATCAGCATCTCCCAGAAGGATGGAAAGTTGCTCCCGAGGATTTCGTCCTTGGTCACGTCAACAAAGGTTGGATTTGATGTATGGGTATGCTGGCTTCTAGACTATTACGCCAGTCACGCGGCGTAAAACCCACGACGAGAATTATACTGACGCCCTCACACTTCATTGTCCTGTCCACACCGCTCCTAGTCAGTCGTCGGGAGAGTGTTCCGAGACATCACTTGTATTAGGGGACCGGGAAGGTTCACTGATATTGTTTTTGATTTATCTGCCACAAAATCGGCAGACCAATGTGAGGGGCAAAGCATTTCACAATATTCTGCTTGCTCCTCCAACTAGACCTCGTCTTTCTTGCCAGGGTGACCCGGACAGCACAGCCCCTTGAGTTGACAGACAACAGACGGCATGGTGTTCCCTCGAATACCATCGACAATCGACACCCGGTGTATCCTTAGACCCAGAGTGTAAAATATTCCGAACTCAGACGGTTCATCGCCATGTTGGCCCTGCTCCTCTGCATCCGCGAACTGGCAATGAACGTGGGGACATGGAGAAATATGTAACGACCAATTCCCCCCTCCCACTTAAAGTAGTACTTCTCCTATATTCTCCCCCTCAAACCCGATGCTGGCGAGCTTTCGCAGCCGAGCCCTGTCCTTGACTTTGTCCTTGTCCTTCTGCTCCTCTGCAAGGCGGTGCACCAACTCAGGCTCCGCAAGCTCGTAGCCAGCGGGCGGGTCGTCGTCCTTATCAAGGTCGATTTCGCCCAGAAGCAGGACGTTCTCGCCGCGGACGAGGAACACGCCGCGGTCGATATCGGCATAGAGGCCGCCAGCCGAAGGATTCGGGTGGGCAAAGATGCGCTCTACCGTGTTCTGGAGGACGAGGTTTGCTAAAGAGACACGCATTAAGATTTCGCACATGTTGGGTTTCTGGTCTTGGGGGGGGGGGTTTGTGGGTAGCCCAGCCTAGCGGTGGGACAACCGGAGAAAAGACGTAGGGAAAAGTGAAGCTTACCGAACTGGTCCCAGCTTCGAAGAACGCCGATGAGTTTCCGGCCGTCACGGAGCGCGACCATGAGTTTCTCTGCAAAACGCGGTGGAACGGGTCAACGTCATCTCCTCTAACTTGGTCAAAGTTTCCGCCCTCGGTCGAGAAACATGTGTCCAGGCTTTCCCTTCCCCCAACGAGGTCGATTCTTACTATCTGTGAGATCGAGAAGCTGCGCTGCAGTCGTGAACATCTGAGGCGGAAGCTGCTGGGCCGGCGGCGTCGCCAGAGGGGCCGCACCCCGGCCAAGGACCGGCTGGCCCTGGGGCCCCTGCTGCTGGTGCTGATGGGGCTGCGCGTGGGCGATAGAGGGGTTCTCCATTTCGCGACGATTTTGTTTGTAAAGATTCCGGTTCGTTTGGTATTTCTGCTCTCTTTGTCCTGTCTTCGTATGTTTACAGCATCGAGCGGGCGTGTATTGCACTTCTTCTTTTTCTTCTGATTTGTATCCTCGTCGCCGTGCAGTCCATCGATGTCTGTTGGAAGACAATTTGTGCGAAGGAGGGAGGAACGGTAGGTACGGGGACGGTCTCGTGGAAAGTCGAAGGTCTACGAGGTTGCAGTAGAAAACCTCATGCTGATCGCATGTGGACCGGCTTCATCTGCTTATGTTTCTCCAAAGGTAACTCGAGTGTTGGAAAAGCAATCGTTCAGCCTGCTAAAAGAAGTTGGGGGAGTTACCAAATGTCGGGACACCGACGTTAGTAGGTAATTACATGTATAGAGTAATTTACGAAGGGTAAGTCTAAATAGCACCCGTGTTTGGATACCCAGCACCCAGAAAAGTGGGCTATGATCCACCATACTCCCTTACTCGAATATCCCACTATAAACACATACAAATCCCGAGGCGGTATAAATCCAAAGACATAGTGACATTCGTTAATTAAGCAAATTACGTCACCCGTATCTTTAACCTACCTAACCTACCTAACCTACCTAACCTACCTAACCTACCTACCTAACCTACCTACCTAACCTATTAACCTTTATAAATAACTATAGATTAACAGGTTAATCGACCCTACGGTCCAGGGCCGCCTCTTATAAGCTACGATACTCTCGAATAAGCCGATAACACTTTACGGTCTTACGCCTTCTCTAACGGTTATAGCCTTATTATCTATAAGAGCTATCTAAACGCCTGTAATCTCGTATCGGTAACGTATCGATATAGGAAAGGTTAAGCCGCCGTATCGTTAATAACTCCTTTAAAGACTCACGAATCTAAGAGGCGCCGAATAGCCTCGTAGATAACTAATTACCCCTTCCGTATAAGCGTTAAGCTTCGGGATAATCGGTGGATTATTAGAGGCGATTATACCAGTACCTATAACTATAAGTTTATAAAGGTAGTTACTTTCCTTTCCTTTCGCACCGCCTAACTTACTATACACGAAGATAAGATCATTACTATATAGAATAGCGGTTCACGGCCTCGTCAAATTATAACCCGACTTTATAACCCTAAAAGCAATAGCGGTAAGGTTCCCGCGCCGCTTATTAGTATTATAGCTTAAGATATAACGAATATCCTCGCTGCCTATTATCGGAAAGAGCTTACTAGTTATACGCCACTTTAGTGGCTTTATGATATAAGTTACGCCTGTTACGCCTCCTACTAATACTGCTTCGTATACTAACTTATTAGTAACTTAATAATCCTTTAAGGTTTTTCTATTAGGATCTACGCGATAACCTTAGCCGAGTCTAATACCTTTTTATTACTCCGAAATCAGTTATCCCACTTCTATAATAGTCACCCGATACCCTACTCTTCGACTATATATATAAAATAAACAGGTTTAATATACCTCTTCTAAGTATTTATAGCGTATCGCCTTTACGGAAGGCCTTCTAAATAGCGGTGGTTTTCTTAAATAGAGAGAAGGAAGGATAATATCTCTAGGCTTATAACGGCTTGTTAAAAGTTATTCACGTATTAAGGCCGAAAATATAGATTATTCGAACTAAGGGAGGAAAGGAGGGAAGGAAAAGTCTGCACGGTGTGTAGGCGGCTAAGTACGTATGGGATCGTATAGGCCTCGCTAGGAGGTCCGTGCTTCTTAGTCCCGGCCGCTGCCGGGGACTATTCCGTGGGCTATAGCCCGTAATATACCCCCCCCCCCGCCGGAGGCGGCGATATCGTGGTCGTGTTATTATAACCTCGTATTACCCTGGCTCCCTAGCGTGTGATCTAAAAATAGCCTCCTTTATTCGATTCTATTAAAGGCTCCTTCGAAGGGAGGTAATCCATAGTAGCCGAGATCCTTTTAAGGCTAAAATAGTATAAAGGGGGTCTTATATAGCGGTGCTATCGCGGGCTCCTCGCCGGCGTGCGTGCTTATTATAAACGATATACCTGCCGAATATATAACCGGGGGTTATTCCTTCTACCTAAATAACGTAGGAAGGGGAGTAAAATAAACCTCCTACTATTCCTCGTTTTTCACTATTTTCTTCCCTTTCTATAGCTTCCTTTTAACTAATTTCTTTTTTTTAATTAGATTTTCTATACCGTGAGTAGCCCCGAGATGCTTTATAGGTCCTATAGTAGTATAACTAATATCGCCGAGTAATAGCTTATTACTTAGGCCGCCTGTATTCTCTTTATAGTAAGTTAGCACGCCCCTTACTTTTAGTTCCGTGCCGTAACTAACCGTTAATAGATATCCGACTACACCTTACCTAGTAAGCGCCCTTATAAGGGTAGTAGCGATACCGATATAAGTTTAGCCCTTATTACTATTAGTTATAAGGTCGGCCGTTACTAACACTAAGTAGACTCCTCCCCCCCCCTCCCCCCGAAGAAGCGCCGCGCGCCTAAGAACCCCCCCGGACCCCGCCGCCTCGCCCCTTACGCCTAGTACGCTACCCGGTAGTATAAATAAGAGTATACCGTTAAGTGTTATTATTAGTCGGGCCCTAGCGCTACTCGCGCCGATACTAAATATTATAAGTGCTTATACCGTACTTATAATTATTCTAAGGTAAGTATACCGGTTATATATAGGGTAACCGTGACTAATAAGCGATATAGCTCCTATCCACCGCCTATAACGCCGCTAATACTCTATAGAATACCGCTTATACTATAAATAAGGATACTAATAATAAGGATATAAGTTTATACCTACTCTTCGCTTAGGGGCCTTATACTAACTCTCCTATATAGAATCGCTGCTAGTTCTAAGATACCTATAGTAGTTTTTAGGTCGCTCTTAGCCTAGCTAAGTCGGGTAAGAATATCGCTAATCCGGTATAGTCCCCCGCTCCTACTATCGCCGCCCCCCCTATCGCCGCTCCCGCTCCTATCGCTATTCCCGCTCCCGCTGCCGCGCCGCTTACTATTATCGCCCCACCGCCCGCCGCCCTATCCGCTACTACCGAGTTCTAGGTAAGTATAGTATAAGCCCTTAACGATATCGCTACTTCTATATATAGTATAGATAAGACGCTTAAGGATATATCGTAAAAACTAGAGGATAAGAATAATAATATTACTATAATATCGTAAGAGGTTTATAACCTTTTTTACTTTATCCGCCGAGTATATAAACACTACGTGGCCGTGACTCCCTTTACTGCTAGTAATAATCCGGGGGCTGCTCCTAAGGTTACGCTCGCCTTAGCTCCTCCTTAGAAGGAGTTATAGGTGGGTGCCGCCGAGGACGGCGTAGCCTTATAAGAGGAGGAGTTAGAGGAGGGTAAGATCGTAGAGGAGTAGGCTATTCGTGTTATTTAGGTTATTTCGGTAGTTTTTAGGATTTTACTTAGTTCTTCACTTATAAGTTAAGTATTATAGGGGTACGCCCCTAATACGACTTCGCTCTCGGTTTTTATCCTCCTCGCCGCTATATCGGCCTTTTTTCGCGTCTATATCTCCTTCATATACTATTATAAGGGTCTATTATTCGACTATACTAAGCCGTGCTTTTTCTCGAATTCGTTAAGCGCTTATATCTCCCGTATACTCTTAAGCGGTTTCTATATTAGTTCTATATAGTCCTTCTATCGCACTAATACCTCGCGAAGCTTACTATAACCTCGTTTTCGGGTATAAGCGTAGAGGATTTCCTTTACTACCTACTCTTCCTCCCTATCCAGCCCTTCACGGATTAGTGGTGGCTAAGGGTCTATTATCGCTTACCCCGGTAAGGGGTTATAGTCGGCTCGCCGTAGGAAATCCACGTAGAAACGGTTATAGATCTATAAGGGGACGTTTAGTTCTACGATATAGGGGTTAATAACCTTTATAACTTTATACTTATAGTAAAGCTAGGTGAGTTTCTTTAAGGGCCGTGGCGAGGAGTAGTTACTAATATCTAATTATACGAGGTCCCTCTTTTTAAACCTCTTAGTAGGGTAGTGCTAACGGTTTACTAACTCCTTTTAGCGTAGTTATATAGCGGCTATCGCGGCTTAGGCGAACTGAGTAGCTTTTTAAGGCGACTTAATAAGTCCTACGCGGAAGCCTCGCGCTTATCGGTCGGCGTGGTCTTATTAATTTAAAGGGGGTTTATATAGTACCTGTGTTATAAGAAAACGGGCTTATTTAGATTATCGAGTTTACCCGGTTATTTAAGGCTAGCTACGCTACCGGTAATAGCGTATTCTAATCGTCTTGGGCGTAATAGGTATACGCTTATAAGTAGGCTTAGATTTCCTAGTTAATATATTCGGGGCCTCCGTCCGTCTAAGGGTAGTATATGGTGCTTTAGTCGCTATTTAATACCCGCGAGTTTATAAAAATATCGCTAAAAGCGGCTAGTCTAATTCGACCCCCTATCGCTAATAATAGACTTCGGTATTCCGTAGAACCTATAATAGTAGAGTAAGAACCGTTTAGCGTAGGCTTCGGTATCTATAGTATCTATCGCTTTTAGCGTTACCGATTTTAAGAGTCGGTCGGTGATTACCTATAAGTATCTATACTTCCCCTTACGGGTGGGTAGTAGGTCCGTTATAAAGTCTATCGCGATATCGTAGAAGATTCGCTCTAGTATAGAGAGCGGGCATAGTAATCCCCTCTTTATACCCCTTTATATATAGCTAGCTCGGTATATATCGTAATTCCATATAAATCTTCTAATATCTTAATTTATACTAGGCTAGAAGAACTAACGGGCGATTAGGGTAATAGTATTATCCCTGCCTAGGTATCCGCCGATTACTAAGTCGTGGATCGCTTATATAAGACGGCCTTATAGCGGGTAGCTAACCTCGTTTTTGCCGTCCCCTAGTATTTATAGGCGGTTACGAAATATTAGCTATCCTTAGTCGATTCTATACTCGGCGATCTATATTTTAAGTTCTAGCTTAGGGGAAAAACTCTATTCTCCCGCTACTATTACGGTAAAGACACCTCGATAATGCTTATCGGCGGCCCTAGCTTTATTCTATAATTGTTATAGGTTAGGGTTTACTTCGAAGACTGTAGTTAGCTCCGGTAATATTACCCTTATTAGGTATACTCGGGGGGAGATAGCTATATCGGGGATTATTTAGATATACCTCCTTTACTCTTGGACGTTAGAAGAATCCTTAGGTATATCCTACTCCCGATATAAAAGCGCGTTAGCTACGATATTATCGGCCCCCCGCTTATACTCTAACGCGAAGTTATACTAAGCGAGCTTAGCTACCTAACGACTCTAGCGCTCGGTTAAGGCTCTTTTAGTTATAAAGTATTCGAGTACTT